GAGAATACTGGATACCTACTCTAACCCGGAAGTACCACCTCTGTGAAGAACATGATCAGGCTGAGGAATAAGGAGTTTTTCCATATTGCTAGATCGAATTCAAGGTCCATGATTTGCTTTGCCATGTGTCAGATTGATTGTGACGGACTACTTTCCTGATTGTAATGCATTGATATGTGTCAGATTGATTATGACGGACTACTTTCCTGATTGTAAAGCATTGACATGTTCCTCGTGCTTCAGTCGAATTCACCAACGTCTGTGTTGAAGCTTCGTAGTTTTAGAGTGTTAATAAAATAAATGTTCTTTGATCTTGTCTAGTTTGCATTTTCATCACCGCCTTGATAATCCATAGATATGGCGGAAACGCTTTTGGTGGAATGTTTGAAGGTGTCAGTAGTAAGCAAGCGTTATGTGAATGTATTAGTAACATATGCATCGATTCCATGCTAAAATGGTGTGATTTCAAGGTGTGTAAGAAACCTAATACTGCATACGTGTTTATCATTGGTCTTACAACTCGTTGTTACAAAGCGTATCTAGGTTAATATGTAAGATAAACGGTATCCTGACAGACATTCGTCTAGTAATCTCTACATATCCGGTTGACCTAGCAGCTCAAGCTTACGACCACGACCTTACTATATGTGAACGTGGCATTGTCGGGCGTCTTGGTTTCTGCACGTGGAGACTCAGGTGCGGTTGTCCACTTAGAAACCTATTATGTGGGTATCGCCATTATGAAAAGATGTGTTTTCTGCCAATGGTAAAACCTGGGAAGAGGTCTTACATTTTTACCAAAACCCTGGGATGAGGTTTTTGTAAATTTAGTAAAACCTCATCCCAGGGTCTTTGTCAAAAGGTAAGACCTCCATACCAGGTCTCGCCACTGAAAAAATACATTCCCGATACACACTGATTTGTTATCACAGGGTCTTAGTTAAAGGCACATACCCGGACATCTGCACAAAGACAACAGAAAACAACAGCCAGTAACATCCTTTAATGAAAGTTATATGTAAAGTAGAGAGACCCTTTTTGGGATAGACCTTCCAGACTTGCCTCAGTCGATGAGTCTACAGAGGTACCTGCCGACGTACCTGCAGAAGCAGCTGTCTCAGTTGCGGAAGTAGTTGTCTCAGTCACTGAAGTTGGTGATAATCATAAAATATTGGTAAAGGACTGTCCTATACATTGAACTAAACTTACCAGGTTGTTCGCAAATCTGCTGCTCGCTTACTTCCAGGAATAGGTCTCCGCCTTCCTCCTCGCTCGACATCTCGAACTCAACTGAGAAAGACAACCACGTGCATCCGACGTGCACGGTTCGGGTTCTTTCTATACGCTTATCCTGGCAATAGCGAGGTAGTAAATCCCCGTTATAGTGCCCTAAATGGGAGACAATTAAATTTACAGTAATTCGAAACGTTTAACGGTTTCTAAGCCGGATTAAACACTCCTCCTCGGTTTTGGTAGAGAATGTTAAACCTCGGGAGTCGGGAAATCCCTCCTCCCGAGGTTTTACATTCTCTACCAAAACCTCTGAGTCGTGTTTTCCCCATTACATAACACCTGTGTAAGAGTCACACTGTGCGCCCCGACAAGTGAGTTCTGTACACGTGTCACGCAGCCTTGTGCTGTATGTCACTCATACGTCGGTGTGGTATGTGCCGGGCGCAAGGTGCAGGTGCTTCCGTGAAGGATAAAACACGACTCCGAGGTTATAATTGACCTCGTAAAACCTGAGGGAAGCAGTGATCAAGATAGTAAAACTGACGGCGTTAGCCCGATAATTTTCTAGCGAGGTCAGTGCTGTCTGAAGGGGTTACTGTGTCAACCAAAACCGAGGAGAAGTGTTTTTATCCGACTTATGAACCGTGGAAACAACCTTTATCAGTACTTAATTACGATTATGCACGCAAGTGCGTTTCGACAGTCTAAAGAAGCGCTTATAAAATACATCATGCTGAGAAATATTCGCTGAACATGATACCTTCCCACGAACCACATATCTTCATCCAGTTCTGTGCTCTAGTGGTGAGAGTGCCTGACTACTGAACATGAGTTTGTGGGCTCATTTCTTGTCTTCGAATTTAGAGCGTCGGACGTTTGACACATGAAGTCCAAACTGCATCCGCTTCTTTTATTGTCAGGTCTTACCAGGAAAACGTAAAACCTCCTACACGGTCTGACTTGTAAAAAGTAAAGATTCATACCCGACCTGAGGTCTTACTAAGAAAAAGTAAAACCTCCTGAGAGGTTACACCAAACAAACCAACTAACGCCCAAATCAATAGTCAATATCTGTGACGGGTTTTGAAACTCCTGATCACCAACACAGGTTTGGCTACAAATGACTTTAAGTAACGACTGTGAGTTTTGATACAACACAGCACAGTCAGACTATCAGTCCACAGTGCTGAACAGGAAGTACTAAACACAGCTAACTCCGGTCGAGGGATACTTTAAAGAAGAAAACCGACTTTTAGCTGCTACCAGCTGGCTTGAATTATTACTGTTTTTGTAAGTGTTAACATAATACAACACTGCACAATATGCATCCTCGGATGCATGAACAAAAAAATGCAATTTTTGTTGTTGTAACATCAAGATTTAAATTGTAAACATCTGCGAAACCGTAACCCATCTAACTGAATTCTCTCTTTGAGCCACTGTGGTGCTTCATTTTTCAGATCATGCTCAAGCACACCATCCCAGTCCATGTCTGACAACCACAGTTTTTGCATGGTAAGTTTTGCCCTTATGAAGCATGGAAACAAGGGGGAGCAAACAATTTGGCTGTTTCTCCTTTATCAGGTAAGCATATATTCCGAAATGTTGTGTTCATCATAATGGAAGTTGACATCCAAAAATTCTCTTCCTTACACTGATACTTCAACTAACTGTTTCTCTAAGAAACACTCTCTTCTGTCCAATAACCTAACCCCCCTGGAGCAAAGAAGCTGCTTAACTTGGGATACCATTATCTAACATGCATAACCAGCTGCAAACAAAAAGTGGATAACGTCCACGTCCACCTTATACCATATGATACCTAAATTCCACATAAAATTCTCTTTGTCTGTACAGAGGCATTCAGCGTCTGGTTATTCCACGAAAGAGTTTAAGGATATACAACTCCTAAATACTTATTTGAAGAGAATTTATGGATGTCAGGAACATGTTTCGGAGTATAGTCTTACTCCTTTATCAGGTAAGTATATATTCCGAAATGTTGTGTTCATCATAATAAAGAAGTTGACATCCATAAATTCTCTTCCTTACACTGATACTGTCACTACTTTAACTACTGCTATTGCACCCGGGTTGGGACTCCTGGAAAAGAATAGGCCCCCAGCAAGCTACATGTATCCTGGTCGTAAGAGCCGACTTAATGGAGGGATCGGGTGGTTTGGTTGAATGCGTGTCATCGTATTCTAATTGCGAGGATCGATGCTCATAGAGTCAATCACTGGATTGTCAGGCGAATATTAAATTACTTACCGCCGTCATATAGCTGTACTATTGCTGAATGCCGCGTTTAGCAACAAAGAAATGTGTGAATTTTCATTTAACTGACATTCCTCTAAGCATACCCAAGACGCAAAAAGTAAAAACAGCAGCAGATGAAAGTAATACTGGCTAAACTTCATGAGATGGCTATGGGAGGGGTTTATTAGGCGTCAATAAATCTGTGACCTGTCAGGTGTTATAAGGGACACAAGAGTGGGTAGTCCACGATAAGTAAAAGACGAAGTAACGATGATGTTGTTGAAAATGTTAACTATAATACTACAATTTGCATTTCTTGGTCGTTCATTTGATTTTACTGGTGCACTTCAGCAGATCGTCCACATCGTCGTTGGAGAAGCAGCTGCAGTTGTTGTTGTCGCCGGCGTTCTGTATGTTAGGAGAAAAATGGATGGTGTTCGTTCAACAAGGATAAATTGGTCATTTACATTATCAGGCATACAATTTGATTCTTTGATTTAATATGCAATGTCCATAATGAATGATTTACAGGATATATAAATGTGTATTCACAATTCGGGCGTCCACAGCAATTCCAGAAATACATTTTATGTCCTTTTGGAACGACTAACCTGAACGCAGGAACGAAAAAAATAGCCTCTTACAAAGGTATTTGTATTTCAAGTATAAGATCTTGGTAGGTTTAAATTGTTTGAAGTATGTATCATAACCCGTTCAAAGAAATTCGACTGATGGTTTGCATAAAGGCCGTGTTTTTGTTGAAAGTTTCCTACATGTACATGGGCGGAATGTCTGTAGTTTTCAGTAAGTAAATATATTTGTTATTGAAACCTATGACAAAAATCGCAGTCCATACAAAATACAAGACTCTCTGCAATTCAATTTTGCATCATTTGATTTATTCACCTGAAACCCGAATCCAACAATATGAAATGTTCTGTCGCTTGTTATGTTATGCAGTTTTATGCAAGAAATTCCTGATAGGATATTTTCGATTGTCTGCTAAAGATGCATGTCATATGTTAAATATTTGTCCTTATGATGTTTTAGAAACCTGGAGTTACAATACCACAACGATCTTGATAAAGTAAATGGTAGCTTCCTTAAATATATTCTGCTTTTGATCTGATGTTTCAAAACCAACAAATCATGCATATACTACAATTAACATACTCGGCATTGCACATATACGACCTACTTGAAGTTCTAAATCTTGTCTTTGCGAAGCACACATAACCACAATACAAACATCCAAGAACAAATGCATTCAGAGGAAATTTGTATATTTTCTAGTGGATAATGACATATACGTTGGTCACAGTTCATATGACGCCGATTCAAGAGAATGGTCTTCAGGCAAGTCACTGGTAAGGTTCTCTGATCAAATTCTATTTACGATCCAGTCTCTGCAATTTGTGTGCTCCCCATATGAGGGTAATGAAGCGAAAACATGTAAAAATTTATAAGGTTACCATTTATTAGTGACATACAGCGCCTTTATGAATGTAGGTAAATGTCGGGGATACTCGGAGGCTTCTCCTGTCCCTGAGATGATCTGAAAGTGATACCGGAAGCTAATATTAAAAGGGAGATAAATCCGACTTTCGTGTAAATGAGGGAGCATATGTTGTGGCAGAAATATATCGCACACACGCACACGCACACGCACACGCACACAAACACACACACACGAAATCTGAGAAAAATGCATATATGATTGAAAATAAGAGATGTTATTATATATGTCAATTATGCAGACAAGTATTAAATGATGATAAAGTTTCATACACACCCCTATATAATGCGGATATATTTATACGCACGCACACAAAACCATATATATGTAGTCGCATACACATAAGGTTAGTAGTAATAATTAAGTGAAGAATATCAAAACAATGAAATAAGTATGTGACGAAAAAATGTGTATTGGTTACAAAAGCCTTCCCAATGTGCCAGAGGGGTTGTGAGTGGTGATAATCATTGTGAGTGGTGATAATCATTACAATATCATGAAACTTGGACTTGACAAAATGTGCAGATCGCCTTTCTTCAGATCATCAAATAATATGAATGTGTACACTTTTTCTGGTTCGTTGTCATACACAATTATATTGTTATTGTGCCATTTTAAATAACCTGGTACTTGGGAAATGACCATCCCCATAAACCATTGTAAATTACCCTCCACATCCCATACATGATTCACCCTCTCTCCCACAAGAATACTCCTAGAGGAACCCTCACCAGTGTTGTTAGAAGCTGCCAGAGATATTAAACATTTTAGATTGTTAGTGAGAGTTGAAAGGTCAAATGTTTATTTTGTATTGTTTGAAAACTGTAAGAGAAGGGGATTTTCTGGTTTTTGTTTTAGAACATTATTTCGGAAACGAATTTGACACTTCAGTGCCTCCATACGCTCCTTCTTTGACCGATATTGATTAAAACGGTTGTCCACTTCACTGTGTATTTATGTATCATTATTGATTCTAGGTTGGCATCATGTTTACTTTGCTGTCTTTATGTTTACGAGCAACTTCCTCTTGTTTGTGTTTGAGGGCATCCTGCTTTTGTTGCTGAATAATTAATTTGCGAAGTTAAAATTGGGTGAGGGATATTTTTGTAAGTTTTGAGGCATGGTTGAGGACATTCTGTTGGGAACCATGTGATAGAGTGACTATCCACTCATTACCCCTGTTGAAATTGAGAATTGATGTGTGATTCCTGTGTGTAAACGGATGAAGATGGTTTGTGGTGCTTTATATAATGGAAACTGGAACTGACCAAATAGAGATTCCGTGAGTTTGTTGTGTTTTAAAAACGAACTTCAATGTGGATGTGATTGTGAAGTTTTGTTCCAATGTATGCCTCCAGGGAGCTGATCTGCCAGAAGCCGCTGTAGAAGTGATGTGATGTATGGTGTGATATTCTCCAAGATGAGGTGGGTGGTGAGTCATTATTGCATGACGTTGTGAGCGCTTCAAGCACAGAATCAGGCTGATCTGTGAGTTTCAACACGTATGGAAGAACCTCGACATCCCCTCTCATAAAACTTGGGAGCCGGGTAATAAGTGTGTCATATAAAATATTCATATCTAGGATTGTCCAGTCCTTGGGACCCGTGAGGATTCCGGGGTAGAATAGGTCTTCAGCAACCCATGCTTGCCGTAAAAGGCGACTCACGGGATCGGGTGGTCAGGCTCGCTGACTTGGTTGATGCATGTCATCGATCCCAATTGCGTGGATCGATGCTCATGATATTAATCATTGGATTGTCTGGTCCAGACTCGACTATTAACAGACCGCCGTCATATCGCTGGAATAGTGCTGAGTGCGGCGTTAAACAACAAACCAACCAACCAACCTGTCCTTGGCCTCAAGAATACGCCAAAGTGGATTCGTCAGCAACTTATCCAAGAGACCAAGGGCACGACATCCGGATATGCAGAGCTCTGATGCCAATAATGTTGAAATGGATGTCAAAAGACGGTTCCTTGTTTCTGGAGTGAAACATGTATGTAAAAAATCTTTAAGGTCATCATATACATGGTACACTACAGCTGCATTGTGAAAGAGGATGTTAAAGTCGATTGCCACGAAAGTTGGTAAAATTCGTTTTCCTACCTCTAGAAGTAAGAAATATGTTGACAGTTTCAAAGCAACCGCTTTTCTAAACCCCTCCTCTTGAAAAAGCTTTGCACGTCATGCGGACCAAGTCTATGACAGATGATGTTTGAAGTTTGGTATTTTGATTCAAAAGTAGAGTGTTGGCGCATTGGTCTGCGATGTTCACAAAAAGATGAAGTCCACAAAAATAGTTGTCAATGTGGCCCATATCTACTTGTTTCTCCTGGGACAATGAATCCCACTCACTTTCAATGACAGGGAACACGTCTCTTTGTATTCTTGTAATGATACATTGAAAGCCTTCTCTGTGGCTGCGCTGTCTGACGTTGTATGTTTGATGTTAGCAATGATAGATGACCCTTTACCAGATATGACATTGACGTCATCAATGATTTCTTTCAGTGTGTCTACGGTTGCCTGCGCGGATTTGTTTGGAATTTCACGCATTCAAAGGATTGTTGGGTTTAGGTGCTGATTGGTAAGCACATACGTCTGATATTGTTGTCCATGTTTGGATGTCTCGTCAGCGTACAGGGTGGTATGACTTTCCTTGTTGAAGGTAGCATCCATATGGGCATGGCTCAGGGGGCAATGTCATTGCTGCTATGTCAGCTACACAGGTTGGTGAGGGAAGGGCGTTTGCTTTTAATCCAACGAGATTAAATACGGTTTCATTACGTTATGGACGTGATCATACCCTACATTTCCCGAGAGAAGAGTCAAAACACACATCTTTGTGTCATTGCTATAGCTCTTACCGTTCTTTAAGGAAATCATGCCTCTGTGGAAAGTGACATCTTCGACATGTTTTCTTCACAAATAGTTTTCTCTATATCTTGTCGCAACTTACAGCAGTTTGTGCATTTCTGCGTAAAGGTCTGTGTTTGTTTACAACTTTGTAAAGAACCTTTCACCTTTTCATTTGTTATTTCTTTTAGTTTCAAAAGTCTCTTTCGGTAAATACTTACTTGATTAGATTTACAAATAACTTGTGCCTTCATTTTCTGGTTCTGGTTTTAGTCAACTCGAGTTGGACACTTTCTGTACATGGTGTAAGTTCATGTATTTGAACTTGAGGAGAAAACATTGTTTATTTTTGTATGGTACCATGTTCTGGTCTTATCTGCACTAGAGGTTCTGTTTGGGGGATAATTTATTGGGTGTACGTCTATATGCTTCGAGTTGGTAGCGTTCTCTGTGCTTTTACAATAGGCATGGTCTGGTGCATTGGTGCATAGTGATGCAAGGGAGTGAATTCAGGTAGTGATACATATAAAGTGAAATGTTGTATTTACAGTTGCAATTGCGTAGAACAGGATGCTCTTTGATCTCTGGAACTTGGGTATGATGGGATAACGGTATTCAAGAATCTAAAACACCAAGAATAATATACCATTAGGTTTCTAACATAGGCAACATTTTAATGCTCCTTATCTCCGTATATACATGTGTATTATAAATATGATTCTGATGTCGTTTTCTATTATGTCCACAATACCTTATTGTTTGTTTTCATGTTGTACAAAGCCAGGAAACAGTTAGGAGAATCTGAAATAATACCGACAGATTTTAATAACGTTCAGAAATGTTGCTACGGCCAAATGTAAAGAACACTTTCATTTATGGAGTTAAATTAATGTTTAGGAATATATGTGTTATTTTGAAAAGTATATTCCAAAATTCTTTGTAATAAAATTAAAAAATGTATCAATATACGTTTGCCTTTGGCAAATGCAGTTTCCGAAGTAGACGTTAAGGGTTGTAGGTGGTACACACGTGTAACGCCTGAATAATATGTGGAATTGTTTTATTGTTTATGAGAACATTGTCTCGATTGTTTCGATGTCGGATTGTATTTCAGCAGTTAGGAATAATTACTACAATTTTTATTTTGCAGTTTGTTGAATTGTTAGCATTGACGAATAACCCTCCTTGAAAATGAAATATATTATATATCAACATGTGTTAGCGTGTGAACACCGCTCTCAACTACAGGTTGGTCAATACACAATGACAGATGTTGTGGTGGTTGTGGTAATTCAGTCTTTGTCTTTGCGTCAATATTCAGATCACAACTACAGGGCACTGACAGCAAATATAGTGCCCCGGTGATAATACAGTAAAACAATATTCGTATAATTTTCAATTACTTTTTTGTTCCCTATAATATCGATATAAGTGTTTTCAATGAACGTGTCGTTTTTGCATTCCTTAATAATACATGGACTTTTAGGGATATTTTATTTCAGTTTAAAAAAGCATAATACCTTGCAGTGCGTTTATCCTCATACACATATGATGATGCACCTTTGACATATTATCTTGCCCTACATATTATCTTCATTTCTTAACAACGTCTTCATGTACCCTCAATCGCCAAAAAATATATTTCATAGGTTGTCGAATTATCCGTGTTTTTACGTGCGATTCAAACAATTTACAAATAATGACTGCTCCCCGTTCAAGTGCATGCGTATAACGGCGCTGGAACAGGTGAGACACAACATACAAAACGGATATTAAGAAGACTTATTTGGTAAGTAATTCAATAACTTGGGGTGTTACATTGTTTTCATTGTATTTACACTCGTTAGACAAGGAAAATGGCCTGTAGCTTGGCGGAACAAGTGCAGAATTGCTATAACATATGCTTCTCAGTGGTCTCTCCGACTGAGGTTGTCAGCATTTGCATGTTCGTCAGAGCACAGTTCGTCTGTCTCGTGCGCCACGTAATAACGTCTGGGTTGAGGTTAAATATCATTTCCATATTCAATCGGATGTACTTTATACGTCATCATTTCATTCAGGTGTCATTTGCCAGCGGAATCCCTACTTTGACCCTAACTTCATCTAGACGTGCGGTAGAATGGGCCTGATTCTATCAATCGGCTGGTCACGCCATGCCCTGTGCATGGACAACTTGAATTTTAAAACAATGTAATAGCAATGGTTTTGAACATGGCATATTGTGATCTTAAGTACCATATTATATAAATCATTTTGCCTAGAATCCTCTGCCAGAAGGCGGTGGCTCATGGGTCAATCTAGCATTATTGACCTTCATGTTCTATTTGTCTTCAGGTGACCGTCTGGGGCAGAACCAGCCTGACCTTTACCTTGTTTGACTACAATAGCTACCTGTGTCCTTTTTGCTTGAGTATGGCACCCCTGTAGCCCTGCTGTTTGTGGTCGGTTTCCAGTTCAACGCCATTCTTGCAGATATTCCATGTTGGTTGGGTTGTTGAATATATACTGAGTCAAATTAATTACATTTAGTACTAACTACTAAATGACTTTATCGCGCGTATCCAAACCATGGGCTAATTACGTCTGTAACCCAATCACCCCCCGTAACTCAATCACCCCGGGCCACCACTCGGCACCGTGCCCGGGGAATAATCCCGCGCAAGCATCATCCCGCCTTTGTTAGTCCGTCATTCGCGAACAGCCCTTCCCCAAGTACACACGTGTGTCACTGTATCTAATCGCTTTTGCTTTGAATACCACCTATTTCAGCACTCGCCGTATCGCATTTATTCCGTTCTACTCCCGAACTTCACCCTCGGGACAATTTTACGCTTGTGGAATACCAACTCACCACCTCGACCTTCGTGATGCCTCCCAAGAGAAGAGCACCCGTCAACCACAAACTTGTGAGGGGAGCCAAGCAGGCCAGGACAACCAGAAGACAAACCCCGGGAGTGCACATTATGCAGGAGGCAACAGCTGATGGTGAGTCTGCCAATTACGGAAATATCGAAGGGGGCAACAGAATTAACGTACAATCGGCGCAGCTTGTAAATGCCGCGCAGGCTGCCAACTCGGCTACCCAGGTAAACGAGGAACTGGAAAAAATACTCCAGTTGCAGGAACATTCAGCGCCCGGCCCGGTTAGCGCAAACCAACAGGTAAGGCTTGGTTTTAGTTCTCCCGCCATTTCGCCCAACATAGGGAGAATCCCCGATGCTTACAACGAGGTATTCATTTTCATCGTAGTGTCATAGCGACCGAATTGGGACAAAGACTAATTACCCTGCAGCCATGATGTGTATATGTCTAGAATCTAGAAATGGATTAGTAAACAATCGAAGCGCTTATGTTAATACCACTTCATTACCCATAAGACACGATGCAATAAATACATCAGCGAACGTTAGATTAACAAATGAATTGCACATGCCAAGCTAGATGTGTGTATATGAGAAATATATTTGCAGTTTATGTTAAACAATTCATTTAATTGAACATCTGCCAGTTTTTAATACGAAGTTTTGAATAGAAGCTAATGTTTGGATTTGCTCTTCTTTACTCAAATGCGAATTTCTGCATAGCACTGTGTGTAAAAAATAACCTTGTTGGTAAAAATACATTTCATTTCGAAGAACTTAGTAGTTTGTACACACAAAAGTGTAAAGCATGCTCGGTATGATATCCACAGGAACAGGTTTTAGTATGCAATATGTCTATCATACTGATCTGCGTTAAGATCGCTGCAGACAAGCCTGATGCGAATCTGAATAATTTGACATGCTAATTGCCATTGTTAATCCAGAAGTATTGTACATGGACTGTCTGCCATCCTGAACGAGCTGTGCAACTTTGACATTGTTTATTTCCATAAATAACCACTCACAGTGGTACATGGACATAAATGCAAGAAATAGATAACGGAGGCATTCACCAAATTGCATCCATCGAATATGTTAGCGATCGTACATCTCCATCAGTATGTCCTTACCTGAGAGTTGTGCGTCGGGGTGCATGGCAGTATAGAATGGAAGTCGTTAGTTAGTTACTTGAATGGCAGTCCGGGGGTCCTGTCGCTATATACTTGTCCGACATGAAATGACAGGTTTTAGGGTTTGTGATTTAGTTAGTGTGGGTGATTTTAAGAGCGTTTGTTGAATGGGTGATAATTACTGCTGACGCTATAGATGTAAACATTCATATAATGATGGCAGCAAAGGACAGCCGAGGAGACAATGGCGTTGCCACCACGAGACATATGTATGCCTTTTACGAGACGGCTAAGGGTATAATTCACTATGTCTATAAATGTTATGTAATCAGTCCTGTAGCGAATCCTTTTCTGAGCAACAGACTGTGTCATTGCATGATTTATTGTGGGCACAATGGAATGGGACTGTAGGCACGTGTAGCTCTTAATCCCATATGAAAACACCAACTTTAGATTCGCGTTGTATCTCTGGTACCACATTCTTTTCTGTAACGCAGATGGCCTAGGTTATGATGATAGTTCGGATAACATTCGTAGAAAATATAGACTGAATGACACGACAGAGTGAGAGCCGTTTAACGCCGCTTTTAACAGCATGCCGGTTAGCGAGGCCGACGGTGACGCGGCTTGGCCAGCCAATCACATCGCAGTATACGGGGATTCCCTTTCCTTCCGTGCGGATGGAATAGACGCGCACGTCAAACAAACGGTGAGGGAAAAAATCTGGCGTGGCGAGTATGTCGACCTCGGCACAATCCTACCAAACACCGAGGGAGGTCACGAGGACGGTACGATTACCATGGCGTACGACTCCTCAGGTTAGGTAATTTTTAAACCAATAAAGCAGCAACCAAAGCGCCTGTCCCTGGCAAGCTGGACTTCAGCTTTCCACATTTTCATGTGTATATATGTTAGTAGGCACTCCGAGGTCCGCACAACCCAGGGGTTGCTGTCCTACATGGAAACCATAAGAACGGCGGCACTTCGATTCGGGGGGATGCCCGGTCAACCTACGACCAACAATTCCGACACAGAATGTCAAGGGACCCCTTCACGACGCTGGGACAACATCGACGGGGAGTTGTGGCTGAAGTACATGGTAACACAGCCGGTACTACAACCACAATCAGGCGGACGGGGCGCAATGACACGCGTACAGGGGGACATCGCCAGTCAGGTATGCTGGGATTTCAATAAATTTGGCTGTAGCAGGGTCAACTGTAAGTACACTCACAAATGCGGTAAGTGTGGCAAACATTCCCATAGCTCTAGGACCTGCAGATCAGAATCCCAGAGTCCAAGATCAAGGAGGTGACAAGGGAAATCCAAGACATCCTGTCAACAGGTAACATCAAGGTCACAAAAAGGGCCCTTCAGTCCCTCATAGGCAAGCTTAACTTTATGTGCAGGGCTATACCAATGGCAAGGGCATTCAGCCGCAGGCTAACCGATCTGCTTAGCAAAGGTAAGCAACCATTTCACCACATTAGGATTACCAGCTGGGTCAAGGAAGACCTACAAATGTGGTTAACATTTCTTACGAGTTATAAAGGCATTTCAGTGTTTCAGGACCAACTATGGGTGGACAGCGATTTCCTCCAGCTGTTTTCAGACGCAGCGGGTGGCGCCGGCTTTGGGGCCTACATGCAGGGCAAATGGTTTAACGGCGCATGGCCACCCCAGTGGGTGACAGATGGAACTACACGGGACTTGACGCTACCTTGACATGGTGGCATCAACCCTTCGGATACAACCCCAGCTTCCTGACACCAAGATCATCGTGTCCTCAATGCTGCACAGGCGCTACTGGCACGATGCCAGGGACCCACTAAAGATCGAGGGGATGCGGAAGAATATCAACCGTCGACTGGCCAACCGAGTCAAAGAGCTCGGCGGTACAATGGTGCCACATACCCAGATCCTGGCATCAGACAAGACATGGTACGCCTGGGAGGGCGTCCACCTCAGTGACAAAGGACTCTGTGTGTTTACAGACAATTTATTGCATGCCCTGGCGCTTGTTATCTCCACAGGTTTGCGTTTCCTTTCAGTACATAGGCAAGCCGGGCAACAATGCTATCTCCGCGTATCGCGTGGCCGTGGGTGTGGGGGTAGCACTCTGGTGCTTTGTGGCGGGGTTCTTGTGGGCTACACTGCTAGTAACAAATTAACTTGCTTCCAAATTAATACTCGTGCTTAAGGCTACCTGCTTTTCAGCGGGAACCTTTCCGGGGTTACCTGCTTCTCAGTGGGAACCTTGTCTTTCCCGACTTTTCAGCCGGGGAATCGTAAAATAACATACGTTGGGGCAAACAATTGCCACGTATATGGGCCCGGCGGCGGAAGTCGTCTTGTCAAGCGGTAGCTGACAGTTGGGTCCGCGGCGTGGGAGCCGCACAATGGTTTTGCTAATGGGGCCGGGCAGTGGGATCTGCTTTGGCCGGCTACCTGGGGCCGGGCAGCGGTAGTCTGACTTAGGCCAGCAACGTGGAGCTGCTTTTGGCAGCGTGGGAGTTGCCAAGCAATGGTAGCGGTTAAATATGCTACCGTGGGGGCCGGACAGCGGAAGCAGTCTCAGGCCAGCAGCGCTAGCTGCAATCGCCGTTGGCCACGCGCGTGGCCATGGCAACGGTAGCATTTTGGTATACACAATTAGCAGCTAAGTAGCCCACTAGTACCTGCACACCCTCGGCCATTTAACCCAATCTCATCTTCTGTTTTTATTTTAGGCACGGGCATCCACGGCTCGGTGGCCCGTGCCTCTCCTTGGCATATCGCGGGATAATGGCACACAAGTTCAGTAGCGTGTATGGCCACCATGTACGTTGACAACTGCCACACAACGCCTCCGCATGGACCTTGTGAACACATGATTGGGAAGACGACGCCATTGTTACTGCAAAATGGTGCCAAGATCTAGCAAATTCTGTGGTTGGTTCTAGAGAGTGCGCAGACTTCTGCCAAGAGCATCCCAGACGTGTTCGATGGGATTAAGGTCGGGAGACCTTGACGGCCAGTCCATGACGTTGACTCCCGCATTCCGAAGGAAATTCCTTGTCAAAATTGCTGTGTGGGGTCTGGCATTGTCGTGTTGGAAGATTAAACCGGGTCCATGTGCTGCCATAAAAGGCAGATGTTCTGGTGCCAGTACCTGGTCGCGGTAAGCAGCAGCGTTGAGGTTGCCACGGATGACAAGAAGCCTGGATCGTGCATTGCCACTGTCAACTTCCTGTACACAACACTGGGCGTAACGTTCATGACCGCGCCTCCACACTATCGCCCTACCATCAGCAAATCGAAGATTAAATCGGGATTCATCACTGAAGACGACTTGATTCCAATTCCTCTGAGTACTACGTACTTTGTAAGTGTCGCTGTGCCCACAATTGACGTTGACGTCTGTGTAATTGAGTCAGAATCGGCCCGCAGTATGGCCGTCGTGCTTGAAGGTGAGCAGTTCTCAGACGGTTTCGAACAGTTTGCGCACTCAGTCTACCCCTAAACAGTTCATTTCTGGTTGATGTAGCCGTCAAAAATCGGCTACGGAGGTGACGTAAAGACAGTCTATCGATCCTCTGCATGTGACGTCACACGTGGTCGACCTGGCCGAGGGCGATCAGCGGTGGTACCCGTTTGCTGTAGACGCGTCTGTAAATCACAAACAGTCCGTCGACTACAACCCATCGTCCTTGCGACTTCAGCTACGGACGTTCCCGTCTTCAACATGCCGATGGCACGTTCACGTTGCACATTTGGAAGGCGTGGCATGACAAATGGCCTTAAAGACTTTTGTTTTCTTGTGTTTTTCTTTTTTTGTTAATGACTGCTATGGCTGAAAACATGTGCGGTATTATGGCCACGTGACCAGTTGCACGTGAAAAAACACTTTTGCCACTATAGTGCTGTGCACATGATTTTGATCGATTCACCTGCACAGAAACGGGTGTTATCTGAAGACAATACGTGGCCATTACTGTTTAAATACACAATAAGGGCCCACAATGATAACTGCTCAAAATGTTAAAATTTTAGGATTGTGAAGTTTTTAATTTGGTTCAGTATATATATATATATATATAGATATATATATCTATATATATATATATATATATCATAACATAACTATGGACGAGCGTTATATGCTCAATATGATATATCTAAATTCTTTGATATTTTAATGAACTTAGTGTCTCATAGGCAAGTATGGCCGGGTATTGCTTGCATATTTTATGCTTTTATGCCTGTTTCATCGTGCATAGCGATATGTGACACTCAAATAAACTACTACTTGGTTGATGCATGTCATCGTATCCCTATTGCGTAGATCTATACTCATGATGTCAATCACTGGATTGCCTGGTCCAGACTCGATTATGTGCAGACCGCCGTCATATATTTGGAATATTGCTGAGTGCGCGTTAAACAACAAACAAACAAAAGTAAGGCTGATTCCTGAGGTTTCATACAGGACGTTGATCCCACCCCATACCGAGACACAGGTGATAAACTACGGTGTCTTTGCGGCGTTGAAACCACAAACAAACAAAAAGTTATAATTAAAGAGTGTCAATTGCAAAGCTTCCGCTGTCGTGTCAGGTTTCAACCTTGTGGTTTTCCGTGTAGCAAGTGCACTACAGTCCCTCCGACTCACGGCGGACGAGACAGCCTGTGGTGAAGCGGCCTTCGTAATAAAACTTGCACCGACTGTAGACATGGTAGACTTGCGACAAGACAGATTGCACTCAGTGAGTGAGTTGGTTGGTTGGTTTGTTGTTTGACGCCGCACTCAGCAATATTCCAGCTATATGACGGCGGTCTGTAAATAATCGAGTCTGGACCAGACAATCCAGTGATTGATATCATGAGCATCGATCCACGCAATTGCGATTGATGACATGCATCAACCAAGTCAGCGAGCCTGACCACCCGATCCCGTTAGTCGTCTTTTACGCCAAGCATAGTCACCTTTTACGGCAAGCATGGGTTGCTGAAGACCTATTCTACCCCGGAATGTCTCAGTCAGGTGCGTTGGTACAGTACTCGTAGCTTGTATTTAGTGACATTGCAATCACTTGCTCGAGAGCATAATTCTTTTCAGTTGAGTTGTTTAGAATTACTCGGCGGCTATCACATTCATGAGTCAATTCCAGCGACACTTATCGCCACGAGGTCGTTTTATTATAAGGACAAACTGCCTTCCAGAAAGTAAACAAGAGCTACTAGATTAATGTACACGTTTCTTCTGTCAGATTCAGGAATGGGAAAAACAGAATGTCGACAAAAAGTTTCAGAACTAACCACAGTCAGTAAATGACTGAAACTTCCAGGGAGGATATTAATGGAAAGTGTCAGAGGATCTGCAATATTCCATCTGCAACTGCATTGTTTAAAATAACCAGCCAGGCAACAGATGCTTGACAACATGGGTGAGATATGTCGGGGCACGTTGGGATACTGTCAGCCAGGTCACACAGTGTTACCAACAAATGCTTGACAACATGGGTGAGACATGTCGGGGCACGTGGGGACACTGTCAGTCAGGTCACACAGTGTAACCTACAAATGCTTGACAACATGGGTGAGATATGTCGGGGCACGTGGGGACACTGTCAGTCAAGTCACACAGTGTAACCTACAAATGCTTGACAACATGGGTGAGATATGTCGGGGCACGTGGGGACACTGTCAGTCAGGTCACACAGTGTAACCTACAACTCCAGTTTAGTCAACAAACCTTGATCCCACGTCACAGACAGAATAGACAAAGGTCAGGGTTGACATCAAACAAACTTACTGTATTTAAATAACGAAGCAGTTCAACTCACAAAGTCACAATACTGGTTCTGAATAATTTATCTATTCCAAATTCATGAAATAAATAATATTGCAATATGCAGTACAGTGCCAGGTACGTGATCATGCAATGGTGCTATGGAAGATAATTAACAAGGTATGATATGTCTTTGATTTGTCTATGAACTTATCAAAATAGGATTCCAGTCAGTGTGTAAACAAACACGCCGATTCCCACACACTGGATACACAACACAACTGCGTGTGCGCCTTCTGTTCAGCCACCAGTTGTCATACAAACACCTGGCTTGGTAAACGTACAGTTAACTTACACGCTACCAACACACAGACGTTAAATTCCATGAAACCAGACGTTACCGATATCAATGGAATCAATACTCTTCAATATGATAGTCACCCGTGAAGATCCGGATTAAGAATTGGTCTTCATTAGCTCATGCTTGTCGTAAGAGGCAATGTCGTGTCATCGTATCCCATTTTTGCGTGTATTGATGCTCATGATGTCAATCACTGGATTGTCGGGTCCAGACTCGATTAGTCACATAGCTAGAATATTGCTGAGTGCGGCGTTACACAACAACGGTCGGGTAGCCTAGTGGTTAAAGCGTTCGCTCGTCACGCCGAAGACCCGGGTCCGATTCCCGACATGGGTACAAAATGTGAAGTCCCCGCCGTGATATTGCTGGAATATTGCTAAAAGCGGCGTAAAACCATACTCACTCACTCGTCGCTATATGGTTGAAAGAAGCTTCCTCACTGATAAATTTTTAGGAGACAAAAGTGACATTTTTAGCAATATCGGGAAAAAATGCCGAAAATGCCACAGAATAAAAAATCACAGTAGTATTCGTCGTAAAGGTGTTGCGTCTGGGTATGAGTGGGTTCCTTAAATACCTGGACGGTGTGATAGTCCAGTAGTTAAAGCGTTGCCTGGCCATGGTGTTTGAGGCTTAGTGATGGTGTAGCGGTATAGCGGGGATATTGTGACAGTAGCGTATGTACGCTGTTCTTACACTTCTACCGTGCACACACAAAAATAATATCACCCCATGGGGCGTGGATATAGGTGAAAGCATTTTTCAGTAATTGTCACTGGGCATTATGACGTTTGCTTCATGCTGATTGGATAGTTCGCATCAATTGTTCCATTGTTTTCATCGTTTGCGAAGAGGTTCACGACAACGTGCGTCACTGAACACATTGTCGCATGTCACTGAGGATGGCGTCATCATAGCACAACATCATTCACTCGGGGCAGATAACCCGTGAATCCTCGTAGCACGGAGGTTATCCTCCTATTGTTTCATAAGGTCCTCGCTGATTAGCCCTACTGGAGTAGCATCATAATCATCATCATCCCGTTAGACAGCTTCTGAAAATATATTATTAGTATATAATACTTATAATGTATTGTACAACTTTGTGAGGTGAATCTTTGTAGCCAGTCGTCTTCCTGTTGATTCTAGGATAGAGGTGTTACTCATGCTATCAATCGCTATTCAGAGTCAGCTATGTAAAGACTGCTGGATATATGCAATATCTCGCATATTATTATGGTATCAATGCACATATTCATAAACATATATTAGAAAGTAAGAACAGTTTACCACACATGCAGAGATTACAATTAAAGGGAGAGAACCTGTTATCGTCGGAGCTTCAGGGAGTACCGACTCAGTCAAAGTGACTATTCTACACACACTATCCCAGACCAGCATCGAACACATTGCGTGCGCTGGACCTCGGGTTGTCCATCCACAAGATGGGGTGTGGTTCTAACGAGTACAGGCCATGGACATACCGCTTAAAAGGAATTTCCGTTTATAAATACAGGAACGATATGTGATCTGAAATTTGCTTTGAACAGTATTTCAGGTCTATCACTGCACGTCCAAATCAAACCGATGCGTTGGTGAATGACACAAGCACGGGTTAGACACAGATCGTTGACAATATATGATTCCAACCCAAATGGTTCACTAACTCGTGTATTCTGCCTGTTTTGGAACTAAAATGTGAAAAATATCAAAATTAAAATTTACCTCTATCTTGGTGTTCCTCATCCTAGTGTTATTTTGTCTTCGGTTTCATCACCTGGACGTGCACATCTGACAACAGCAAGTAAAAGTGTAGACAAGTCGTAATATAGTTTACCGACAGCTAGCATTACATGCAAATCTAAGAGTGAGTGAGTGAGTGAGTGAGTGAGTGAGTTGGGTTTAACGCCGCTTTTAACAGTATTCCAGTTATATCGCGGCGTGTCAGCTTAATGTGGGGGGAAAGCCCGAAGTGATGCAGGTCTCAGACGTTTACCACTTCGGTGAAACCCACGAGCACGGGTATGGTGCTGACAAACCTAGAAACATAATCGGGGAGAACCGGGATTCAAACCCACAATCATAGGTTTCTGGCGTGCCCAAAGGACGCAACTCTGCACCGAAAATCGCGCCGCCTTAGACAACAGGGCCACCCATGCCCCCTGCACTTGTAAGATCTGCAAGTGAACTAAACATATTTTTTAGGTGTAACGGTATTAAAATTCAATAACAAGGTATGATATTAAAGACCACACTGCACAGCAGACATCATTTGAACTTTCGTAGAAAAGCATGAGTACTCAAATGATTACATTTCATATTTTTCGAAATATATTTTTTAAAATCTAACAGCTGGCGGAATGCTTACTCATTTATGTGGAGAATTGAATCCACTTACTTATGCATCATGGCTCGACTAGCTAATTATGTACAACTCGGGGTTGGGGTGGGATCGGGGGAAACTCTGTACCTTGCGCCACTGGTTCCCTGTACTGTGTGGGGGCATCCGCTGATAAACATTCTGATGACACTGTGTATAGCATGTTGTCCCGCATGGCTGAAACATAATATATCATAATTATGAGTAGTAGAAGTTGTTGTAGTTTTAGCATTAGTTGCAGTAGTAGTTGCAGCAGCAGTAGTAGTAGTTGCAGTAGCAGAAGTAGTAGCAGTAGCTGTAGCAGTGGAAGTAGTAGCATCGCTATTATTATTATCATTATGTAGGCCGTATCATCACAAACTAGTCATTCGTTGACATTCTCTGTAATGAAACCTGTATATAACAAACGCACGTTTTAGCAGGTGTCCTCCCATTAGTTAGACGTCCCAATAGTTAGACAGCTTATAACAACACTTTAAACGGTTGAGTGCACACTAATCCTTATGCTTGTTACCTCAGACTTTAAAATGGAATAGTCCAGATAAGATCTTACAAACAAAGCAAAGCAGCTTTAAATAGATACTTTAATATTATACTTAACATTTAATGACACTTTACATTTGATAAATTTTGTACAGTTTGTAAGAACACTTTGTGCCAGTTTTTGGTAATGTACACTTTACATTTAATAACTTTTACAGTTTATTTATCCCAGACGAAGCAAGTGTGCTAGGTGAGCCGCAAGTCACACACTTTGCATTATTAAACAAGAATTTCTTCATTGCCTCACGCCGAGCGACAATACTCCTGTGGCCTGTAAACAATTAAGTCCAGACAAGACACTCCAGCGTGTTTACTGATTTTGTTGAAGCTATGGTGGATGCTGGGTTGCTGCGGACTTCAGTCAACCAGCAGGGCCATCGACTGTTTTAGCGTCATCATAATTACTGTATTATTTCCTGTAAAAATATCGCACATGTCAACAACTTTAAACAAATGCCAAAGAACCTGACTGATGAAAAGGTTGTAAATGAACACACTCTGTTCTTATTGCTATATATATATATATATATATATATATATATATATATATATATATATATAGACACAAGTACTGGTTCACGTCATATGATTCAAGTAATTAGATAAATTAATTGAAATGGTACTCAAATAACTAATGTCATCCAACAGTTATGCAAAGTTTTATTGGATTCTTGATGTATATATTATGTTATAGTAAATGCGTGATCAGTCAATGTGTAAAATGACATTTGAGAAATTTACAAAACGCCAAAATATTTAAGTTATTTTTCAATTATTTTCCTATTTATTTCTGAATTCAAAACACTTCAATGCTCTATTTCTTTACGCGGTGATTGAAAATGTTTAAAAGAAAACGAAAGTCAATGTATATTTTAAAATTTTCTTTTGCTTCTAATCCTAGCAACATCAACGTCTTTTTGGATGCTTTTAAGACCTTTTGAACTTATCAATACCTTTCAGTCAATCTGGCGGGAAATTTCAGTCATTTTACACATTGTACACATAAGTGTATGCTTGTGTGTATGTGCGTGTGTGTGTGCGTTTGCTTGTCTTAGTGTGGACCTTTATCAGTTTTATAGGTCTAGCTTACTGAGATAGCATGCTAGTTTAACATAGATATATGACGCAAATACTCGAATCTTGACAGACAATCCATGATTATTGACAACGATCCAAGCCGTTGTGGTACGATGACACACAATCAACCAAATCACTGACACTGATGACCCGATCCATTAATCGCCTCCTAGGATATACATGGGTGACTGAGGACAACACTCAATGGAAACTCCAAAGTGGTAAACAGCTATTATGTAGCAGGGATGCAGGGGCTCCAGTCGCCTTATTTACTATATACATGTGGGGGAGCTCTTCAATTTCAGGCCATGTAACATTTTTTTGCAATGTGATGACAAGCCACATGGTACCTTATAACCATGTGGTGAGACGTCTTCTATATCAGGCCATGTAACATTACAATGTGATGACAAAGCACATCTTACATTATTACGATGTGATGAGAGGTCTTCAATATATGATGACAAAGCACATTTTACCTTATAACCATGTGGTGAGAGGTCTTCAATATATGATGACAAACACATTTTACCTTATAACCATGTGGTGAGAGGTCTTCAATATATGATGACAAACACATTTTACATGAGTAGATAATCTAAACTCAACTCCTTCAACTGATCATACAGTAAGACAATTAAGCTACTCCATAGTTTACATAGTTAATCTCATGCCTATTGAACCTGTGCTGAGAGTAAGGTAATTTAGGTTAATTAAACGAAATTATAACATATATACTCCCTAAACTGTGAGTATCCCTATGGGATATAACCTTTTAGTATGTACATTTTTAACATGGTTATGTAATACTCATGAAATACACAAAGAAACGTTACTTTATCATGTCTTACCTCCTGATGTGCGACGCCTTCTTCTTATAAATAGAACGACGACTACACCGACGAGGACAACAACTGCACAGGCAGACCCTGCAGCTATGTAAACAACAGTCCTGCCACCCAAGTCTGAACAGAGGAGAAATTACAATATCTTTATAAGGCAGTTATCGTCATGCCGCTGTCACCATAATGATGATTGTGAATAGTAAATCATGAAGCGCTGGTCTCCGCGTCACGGCATCTTCCCGAGGCAAGGGCGTAAACTGACTAGAAAAGTCCAGTCCCCACCCTTGCCGAAATAGGCTGCAATTTCCAGGCTCGATCGTAGCGCCACCAGTGGCTATTACAAGTTATGCCCCTTCTATGTCCCTCCTATTGACCAATCAGATTCCATCACTCATATCACTTGCAGTTGCTTCCAACAAAATGGCGGCACCCAATCAAAACGATCTGATCGATAATCAAGATCCATATTTGTAATATGACGGGTCTTACGCCGCGAAGTGTATCAAATCACGTGAGCACCTTGATTAAAAACATGAAATGCAAAATATCTGTCGACGCCCAGTTGGCGGTACACACGGTTTGCAAATCCTGCAAACGACCGAAATCTGCACGTTGAAATCCATGTAGTTCCCTACGCGATTTTTGGACTATGCATAGACTCGTTAGTCCAGCCAAAATGTAACTCCGGAATACCAGCCTAGTTCGGCAAGGGTGGAAACTGGACTTTCGTAGTCAGTTAACGCCCTTGCCTCGGGAAGATGCGTAACGGCGGCTGATAAGTGTGCACTCCAGTTGTATTCTGAACTCCATTGGATGAATACAACCAAACTGACATTTAGGCATAAGAAGGTTTTAAATTCACCCTGCCATCTCATCCTACCGGATACCCATTCACTGATGGCTTGAGGCAAATGTCGAAGACACATTATGATTATAACGCCGTCAACAAAATAATGATGATGAATGTGTTATTGTGATGCGCTGGACTCCACGTCACGGACTAGTGTACACTCCAATTGTATTCTGAACCCCCTGAGGAGAATACAACCATAGTGACTACAAGGCACAATGCGGTTTCGTCATGCCATGTAACGATTCGATGCTGGGTGAACTTAAGCATATGTCTAACTTGAAAGACACCGTGTCTCGGTATGGGGTAGGATGGACGTCTTGTGTGAAATATCAGGAACCAGCCTTACTTGCTCAACGCCGCACTCAGCAATATTCCAACTAAATGACGGCGTTCTGTGAATACACGAGTCTGGATCAGACAATCCAGTGATTGACACCACATGAGCATCGATCTACGCAATTGGGATACGATGACATGCATCTACCAAGTCAGTGAGCCTGACCACCCGATCCCGTTAGTCGCCTCTTACGGCAAGAATGGGTTGCTGAAGATAAATTCTAACCTGAATCTTCACAGATGGTCAACCTTACTGGTTATAAAGTTTGACGGTGCTGATTGTGTGTCCAGGGGACCAATGGTGTGATGAGATATCAACTTGCTATACAGAGTTGCCTCCCTTGTTCTTCACTTTTGTTTTTTCTTCCACATTGACACATTGACACGCACTGATACAACCGAATACTGCTCACAGCAGAGATAATTAACTCACTCACACAAACTCAAAATAAACAAAACAACGGCATTTATTATTATTTTGTTGTTGTTAATGTAAATGTTTTTAGTCATCATTCGTCTTATTTACCGTTTTATGAATTACAATTTAGACCAATAATAGTACATCGCCATTTCGACCATTTCCCCAATTCTGATTATGTTTCAACGGCGGCTGATAAGTGTGCACTCCAGTTGTATTCTGAACTCCATTGGATGAATACAACCAAACTGACATTTAGGCATAAGAAGGTTTTAAATTCACCCTGCCATCTCATCATACCGGATACCCATTCACTGATGGCTTGAGGCAAATGTCGAAGACACATTATGATTATAACGCCGTCAACAAAATAATGATGATGAATGTGTTATTGTGATGCGCTGGACTCCACGTCACGGACTAGTGTACACTCCAATTGTATTCTGAACCCCCTGAGGAGAATACAACCATAGTGACTACAAGGCACAATGCGGTTTCGTCATGCCATGTAACGATTCGATGCTGGGTGAACTTAAGCATATGTCTAACTTGAAAGACACCGTGTCTCGGTATGGGGTAGGATGGACGTCTTGTGTGAAATATCAGGAACCAGCCTTACTTGCTCAACGCCGCACTCAGCAATATTCCAACTAAATGACGGCGTTCTGTGAATACACGAGTCTGGATCAGACAATCCAGTGATTGACACCACATGAGCATCGATCTACGCAATTGGGATACGATGACATGCATCTACCAAGTCAGTGAGCCTGACCACCCGATCCCGTTAGTCGCCTCTTACGGCAAGAATGGGTTGCTGAAGATAAATTCTAACCTGAATCTTCACAGATGGTCAACCTTACTGGTTATAAAGTTTGACGGTGCTGATTGTGTGTCCAGGGGACCAATGGTGTGATGAGATATCAACTTGCTATACAGAGTTGCCTCCCTTGTTCTTCACTTTTGTTTTTTCTTCCACATTGACACATTGACACGCACTGATACAACCGAATACTGCTCACAGCAGAGATAATTAACTCACTCACACAAACTCAAAATAAACAAAACAACGGCATTTATTATTATTTTGTTGTTGTTAATGTAAATGTTTTTAGTCATCATTCGTCTTATTTACCGTTTTATGAATTACAATTTAGACCAATAATAGTACATCGCCATTTCGACCATTTCCCCAATTCTGATTATGTTTCATACTTTTTCCTTCAGCTGTGTGTCACACTTCTGAACGAAAATGTTTCATGCGATAAGTAATTATTCATAGAAGAATGTCTTTATTTCAGTGGGACATGAGATATCAACCGTCATACAAATTTTACATAAGTTTTGTATTTACCGTTATCTTTAGCTTCGCGGTTAGGAACTCGTGACAGATCAGCATACCTTCCAAGCCTTGCAGTAACTGGAACAGATCAGTGTAAGTTCATTGCAGTGAGTGTGTAAGTTGGGTTTAACGCCGCTTTAAACATGGCTCAGTTCTGCCACGGTGTTAGTTTAACGTGGAGAGCCCCAAATGACGGAGGTTCGAGACCTTAACGCACGTTCATGGGTATAGTGCTGACAAACTAGGGCCATGATCAGGGCGATACTGGGATTCGAACCCATGATCTTTAAGTTCTATCACGTGTTACGGGCGCAACACCAAATTCTGATAACAGTATTGGAACAAAAATATTAAGACTGACAAGCCAAGGCTCCTGACACCTAAAATCACCAACATATTATCAAAGGGGTGAGATTGATATCAAATGAAATAGTTTGCTTCGTTTAAGTAAAAAGATCAATTTAACCACAAAGTGCATTACAAGAATGTATGAAAACAAACTACACGTTGAACACCCAGCATCCCTATACGTTCCGCATTCCTGCTACATATATCAGCGGCCGGTAAACAACCCAACCAGTGCTAGCCAAACCAGTGATTCATATTATGTGCAACACTGTACGTCGTACGATGACACGCAATAAACCAAGTCATCTGGACTGACCAGCCTATCCACTTTCTGTCGCCTTTTACGACCAGAAACAGAAACAGTGCTGAGAGCCTCCTAGTCTAACCTGTGTCCCAAACGGGTTCAGATCTGTCAACAAACTCTTTGTTTGTTAGTTGTTTAACGCCGCTATTACAGATAAATGACGGCGGTCTGTAAATAATCGAGTCTGGAATAGGCAATCCAGTAATTGACATCATGAGCATCGATTCACGCAATTTGGATACAATGGCATGCATCAACCATGTCAGCGAGTCTGACCACTAGATCCCGTTAGTCACCTCCTACCACAAGCAGCGGTTACTGAAGACCTATTCTAACCCGGGTATTCACGGTATCAACAAACACTGAATACCTATATTCAACTGGTATCCAGTTAATGGAAATTCAATGTATGTATAATCCTAAACAATATACACACTGCGTAAATTGACTTGTGAACTGAAAACACATATTTTCTTTTCTTCATTTTCTAAGAAAGAAGACTGTGGATAATGTATACTGGTGGAAAAGCATCAACGCCAAATTAAACGTAGCAAAAGGAATGCGGAAAGTGCACGCAGAAGGCACACATGCATGTTGGCCACGATGGTTCCCGTGTCTTTGTCAATACATGACAATAGCGCACAAAGGCAAATGATGTAAGCCAGTGTTTTTCAAGGTTATGTAATTTGTACAAGCAAACTGGTTATCTGGAAATGCGGCAATGTCGTGGAATACGTTATGTCAAAAGGGTTCATTATTGTGGAAGTACCCTTTACGGGCGGGGAAGATTGAACGTCAGTTTGAATTCCATCCATGGAGATCAATTTGGTAAATTACCGATTACGCTATTTGAATAGAGGCAGTGTCTCACTTACACACACAACACTTATCACAACGCATAGACCTACCCGTCATACCTTGGAGCAAAGCCCTTCTTTAACAAACAACAACAACAACAACACTTGACTCACGTAATGTAATGTGGTTGCTTGTCTCGCTCTTCACAGTATCCTTACACCACCACACAGAGCCTCTGTCAATGGTAGCGTTGATCATGAGAGTCACATTGTGTTGGAGGACATTACAGCTGACACTGACACGCCCTGACAAGTACTTGCTATAGATGTAAGGGTTGGATATGGCCGCTTTACTGAAAGTGGACAGAGACTGCGTAGTACGGAAGATGACGTTATCATCCCTGAACCAGTATCGGTTCACTTCGCCCCAGCTACTGCTGCAGATCAGAGTGATGGCTTGTCCGTCGGTTGCTGTTGGTGGAGAACTTGTCAGTACGAGAGAACCTACACAAAATGATATTAGAAACAAAAACTCTTGAAACATATTTTAGATAAATGATAATCATGGTTGTACCTACAAAAATCATTTTGGTAGGCCTACTGCAATATACGTATAATAAGGATCATCATTTTATCATTTAAGCTGGTGGCGGTTGGGTAACCTTGTGGTTAAAACATTCGCTCGTTTGGCTGAAGGCCCGTGTTTGATGTCCCTAATAAGTACAATGTGTGCAGACACTTTTTGGTGTCCCTTGCAGTGATATTTTTTTAATAGTACTAAAATCGGCTTAAAACTATATCCACTCACTAATTTAAGCTGACCTAATTATATTGTTTCTCGCTTCTGTTGGTACTATTTGAATTATGAATGTGCTCTTTAACATCGTCGATAATGTGGTGTTTAAAATGTTCGCTCGTCACGTCGAAGACACGGGTTCGATTCCCCACATCTGGTGTTAAACATGTTAGACATTGAGGGAAATACATACATTCGCACACGGATATATAGATATTATGATGCTTACTGACAGTTAAATGTCTTATTCATGTGTGGTTTAAATGTTAAATAATGTACTACTAATTACACGGTTCATGATTTTCATATAGGAACACAAGCGTTTAAGAGTCCCGCTTGTATAGGATAAAATGTGAATTTGGCGCGATATGCATAGCACAATAAATGCACATTCATCCACTTCTGTTGTTTTGACAGTATTCTAGAAATAGATTTTAGTCATCGACTCAAAAGAGACAAGCGGGACTCTTAAACTCTTGCACATGTCATAAATATGTATCTGTGACAAGTGAACATTAGTGCATTCTGTATTCGTTTTGAAAAATAATGCTGTCAATGAAAATTAATTTTCTTAACCTACTGAAGAAGAGAAATACTTCACACTTTGCACACTTAAAGGCTTCAAGGAATGTCTTGTTATTGTAACTGTCTACAATATGGCACAACTGTATAACGCACTAGGTATTAATATAGAGGAAAGGCTTACCTTCGAGTTTTATGAATTGAAGCAGGAACGCCAGCACGAACACGGCACTCTTCAACAATCTGCACCCCATACTTTCCAGTATCAACATATGAATTTACTTACCTAATATAACAACTTTGATCTATACATTAATTACGAACGTGTGACATTCACCAACATTTGCGGGATAAAGACAAACAACACTTGCCACACCTGAGCGTCTCATCGCCCAATGAACTGACAGACGTGTGTACACGTAACAGTGAGATACGCATATTTCTGTAAATTCCCGTGTCCCCACATCTAACTAGGACTTGGCTGTGTGGAAAAGCTATCAGTGTGTACACATCTTTGTATAGCTATATATTGAAAGGTCCAGAGCCACGAATGTTGATGACTTGATGACATTGTTTTTCCTACTAGGAAGTTATGTTGGGTTTAATCTAGATTCGCCTTAATTCTACAAAAATGACATTTTTTTACCCGAGTAAGTGGCTGTTGTTATATGACCAATCAGTGAATAAGAAGAAAAACTGTTAAGCAACTGATCATAAATATTATACCGCATGTCGGCAAAGAAATGGTGCTTCTGTCAAATACACGCCACATACAAATATAAACTGACATCCAACAATTAGGTCTGTTTATTCGCCAAAAATCATACGATCATATAGGTATGAATACGATTGTGTACACTGGATTGTTTGTTAAAACAAAATATTTATCCAGTGCGGTGTGTTTCAGTATTAGGACCATGACTAGAAATAAAAGTATAATCTATTAGCTGATCAGTTAAAGTTGTTAAACGCTGCAGTTTGATACATCCCAACTGTACACCTACTGTGAATACTATTTAGTGAGTCTGGACCAGACAGACCAGTGACCAAAGGCAAACACCTGTACCATCGGGCTACAAGGTGTCGCAGTCAGCCAAGGTACAGAGCCTGACCACCCAACCCCCATAAAAACCCGGCAACATTGAGTGGGGTTAAATGTAACGTCGTTTAACAAATCTTAGGTACATTATGTTCATGAAAAACTATTTGGGGTGTTATAGTGTCCATGTTTTCGGCTATTGTAACATTTGACCCTGAACTAACCAGCTTGTCTGGAGGTGGGCCAACTTGTCACAGAAACGCATCACTTTCAGGAGCAGTCTGATATTCTCTGTCCTCTTTCTCTATGGAGGACGGCTCCAGCGGCAGCAATAACTGCAATTTAACATTTACGCCTTCTCCGCCAACGACTTGTGCAGCCAGTAGAACAAACTCACTCCGTCAGTCTTGTTGTTTGTGAGATCTAATATAACCTATGGTATGTGGTATTTATCATATTTGTGAGCAGATATGCATACAAATCCACCTTTGATCAATAAGCACTATAGACGCGACAACGATATTGACACCGGGTTATTATTTAAGCATAAACGTCAACACCAGTGTCAAGATTATCCCAAGAAACAGATTCCATTTAGCTCACAATGCAAAATGGCTGTGACGATTATGTGAATGGATCACTGAAAATCAGTGGTGGCACCCGGGGTTCGCGGTAAGCATGTCCTGCCACTCGCCATTCACACAGGGAGTATAACAAGTAAGTGTAAACCATCCAATTGGGATCCGGGTAAGAATCTACATCCCCCACTAACCTAAGCTTGTCGCAATAGCGTGGATCGATGCTCATGATGTCGATAACTGGGTTGTCTGGTCCAGGCTCGATTATTTATAGATTGCCGTCATACAGCTGGAATGTTACTGTGTTGAACAACAAACAATACACGTAAACCATGTTTAGAGAAAAACATGCCTGTCATCTGTTGCACGTGTTGCCACACGATTACAAAAAAACACAGCATGAATCACGTGAATCACGTGCAGGACTATGACAGACGATACACTTCTCAGTTTGATCGTGACTGAAATAGCATCGTGAAAAAGACATACCTATCACTAATCATTAATCATTTTGTTTGATCAGCTCGATCTGGAAAAGACCTAAAACGAATGACATATTCGATTTTGATATCGAGTTAGTGGTATCTTTATGTAGTATGGAGAGTAATGATAATATATTCATCTACCCTGAAACAGGTCATGAACCCTCATTTTCTATTACAGCAACGGATGCTAAAGTCCCGGACCGCATCTCGTTACTACGAGGCATATTCTAGTTGCTGTACAAACCTGAACTTGGAGAAGCGATGCTGATTTTATCTCGGAATTCGTGAACGTAAGTAAGCGAGTGATGTTTAGGAAACGCCGCTATCAACATTTGTGAAGCTAGAACACAGTCTGCAAATAATCTTTTCCGGCCATGCAAACTAGTGATTGATAGCATGAGCAGCGGTCACAACAGTTGTCTACGGATGACACACAATCAACCGGGTCACATATGATATCCAACTTTACCTTTGATCGCGTGTTTATGTTGGAGGGGTGGGGTGGGGGTGGGTTACCGTACTTATGTTGTGGGATAACGTCTCTGATCTCTGCTGCAATGGTCTTTCTTGCGGATTAAGCTGACACACCGTGATTTAACTATAATACTGTTCAAATGGCGTTAAACCCTTCTCACTTCCTTATGATAACAACAGTCAAACAACCCTGTGGGTCATCGCTGGATCAAACTCCAATTAATAAAGGAATAGCCGGGATACCAAGCAACCTACAACGTCAAAACGAATCTTATCTCATGTGTATACATGTTTCTATATAGGCACACGGAGTTGGGTTTAAACACGTTTACAACGTTCATTGTGAGCGCATACATTGTACATCCGGATAACTGTGGTGTCGAGAACACCTAGAGATACCAAGATGTCGTTGTGATGCAACCAGACGTGACTAAACAGCTGACGTAATGCACCCTGAAAACTTCCGAAGAGGTAGTATGCTATAAACAAACCAATTATATTATCTTCAAAGAATGACTCCTCGTGATTGAATGTTGTCTGGCCGCCCTACGTAGGAACAATGTGTAGTTGTTCTCACTGGCAAGGCCTCTCATAAAACAAAGTTTATATGTCAGCATCACTACATTAATTGTTGAATCAAAGAACTTGGTACAAGTGACATATCAAAACATGCCACGTATAAGGCCAAAACCACGCGGGTGTTCGATTCATGACATGGGAATAATGTGTGAAGCCCATTTCTGGTGTCCACCGCCGTGATATTGATGGAAGATTGCTAAAAGCGGCGTAAAGTTAAACGCACTCAATCACAAGAGCACCATACAAATCCATACAAAGAGAGATATATTGACGGGTCCAAATGTACCAGCAAATCCATGCCTCACAGATTTTATAACAAGAATCCTTTTTTTCAATCGACTTTACAGTAACAGAAAGTATTTGTGACAAGTGGAATTATTTCTAAAATAGTCAAGGATTTGCGTGACCTTTTGCAATCCCAGAACACAACACAGTTTAATCATGTCAGAACATTTGATTTTACAAGTTTGTAAGCACTATCCCACAAGCTTAACTGAAGGAACTTCCTTGAGCTACGGGGCATTTGTTACTAAGCGAGGTGTTCATATATACATACAGTTGCATCTCCATCTTCAGGAGATGAAGACAAACACGAACACAACTGTCATCTGAAGTTTATTGAGATAACAATATGTGAAATGCTGGACTTGCTCATAAATTACACACATCCATGTGGAACTTATGGATATGACATTTAGGCAAGAAGCTGGCATCATTTTTGGCACCAACTATGTTCACCTTTCTGTTTATATGTTTTTGTATGCCATTAAATCGAATTTCTGCTCTGATTGGCAAAATGAAAACACGGAAATTTGGCCAAGAAGTTTAACTTTAAAGCTTCAGGTATATCGATTATCTGATATTGTTCAATAACCACCAAATGGTCTATTCCCGTCCACTGATTTACCCACCTGAACTAGATCTAAAATCGACTAGTGAAACCGCCTCATCAAAGACCTATGTATACTGAGAGGCACAAATAACGCATACTCAAATTTAAGTGTCAATAATTTTTTACTGAAATGAAATCTACAAATGACAATCAAAACAAATGACTAATTAAAGATTACACTGATGAATTTCATGAACAGTTAGTGTGTGACAAAGAATTAATGTCTATGAAAATGACGTCAAAGGCGAGTGGTGTCAATAACGAGTATGTCCTCCTTGTGCAGCAATGCACGCTTGAAGCCGGCGAGGCATTGAGAGACACAGTCGACGAATTGCAGCCTGAGGAATACGTCTCCAATGATGCAGAAGAGCTTGAGTCAGTTGTGGAACCGTCTGTGGAGGATTTTGTTGACGTCGGACACGGCGGCCAAGTTCATCCCACAAATGTTCTATAGGGTTCAAATCTGGGGACCTTGAAGGTCAGTCCAACACATTAACGTTGTTCTGTTGCAAGAAGGCGTCTGTTATCCTGGCAGTGTGAGGCCTTGCATTGTCATGTCGAAAGACATGGCGACGTAAACCACGTTGAGTCAGTAATGGCAGCAGAACAGGCTGTAGAACGTTTACGATGTAACGTCTGGCATTAAGGTTCCCCTGAATAACAACAAGATCCGAGCGGAAATTTGCATTGATTTCTCCCAAAACCATAACACCTCCACCTCCAAACCGATCACGTTCAATAACACATGGTTGTGTAAATCGTTCATGTTGGCGTCGGTATACACGTAAACGTCCATCAGGGTAGCTGACTGTGAAACGTGATTCATCAGAAAAAAACAACTTGTCACCAATCTCTACCACCGAGATGACCTCCACCAGCTGCCCATCGCTGCCGTGCTAGCCTGTTTGCCTGAGTCAAGATTTGTCCACGGTAGGGTCGTCGACCCCTCAAATTCCTGGCAGCAAGACGACGACGCACTGTACGGTCACTGATGTGTCTTCCACGGAGACCAATGGTTGCATATGCCGTTGACCTGGCAGACGTGAAGCGATTTCTGAGGTGGCTGTTAACGATTTGACGATCTTGTCTCTGTGACGTCACAGGCGGTGCACCTGGTCGAGGACGGTCCCTTACGCTGCCTGTGGTTCTGAACCGCTCATGTAATCTCGATATTATCGTTTGATGGCAATGGAAATGAACAGCAACTTGTTCTTGGGTACGACCAGCATTTAACATCCCCATGCTTCATTACGCTGATCTTGCGTTAACCGTGGCATTGTGTAGGCAAGTGACGGCAAACTGTCATGTTTTGCATTTATAGGGTCTACCTTTGAGGTTTGCACGTGTATCATGCCTTTCACAAAATGTGCATCGATAGCAGCATTCCCAGTGGTGTGTTGCGTTTTGGTGATTGGCTTCGTTTCCAGAAACAGTTTTTGTTTGCAACCCATATGACATGTTTACAGTAATAACCAACAATGGACAGTGTCAACAAGGTAAAATGTAAACGGACCTCATATGTTCTTAAAAAAATTATATCTTAAAATTGAGTATGCGTTTCTAATGCCTCTCAGTATATAATGACTAGGAGTGACAGAAAGCTCTGTATGACAAGAGGGATGACTTCAACTTTCCAAGTCAACTTTCCCTTTATGTTGAGTAGTATTCCAGCAGCTCCAGACTTTGGTGTCTTTTGAGGTACAATCGAGTATGCTCTTTCTGTGCATATTTCAAACGACTCTTGCTCATACATTTTATCAGGGTTACATCATTCAAGGTCACAGGAAAGTTTTTAAAACTATTTATGGTAGACATGTTGTGGTCCTCTCGGACAAGGAAGTACAGGAAGTGACACTTTCCTCATTGATATAGTAGAGAATATGAAATACTGAGTGTTGACAAATAATGCTTTTGCTCTGACCTTTTACGATATATACGTTTAAACTGTTGCAAATGTTGGTATTGTATCAGACAAGTGTAGATTAATATGCATGAGGAAGGAAAATCACAATTATATTGGTATTTAAATTTTATTTCCCTTCACAAATTACACTGTTCTAATCCGTGCTTGTATTTGCTTAAAAGGCTATTAACTTCTGTCTGATTGAGGGGAAAAACGGTACACATACAACACATACCATTTTTTCATATTCCAGCGTTGCAGACACTACAACATGATTCGATATAATGTACATGAACATATTTCTATCCACGAATCATTTTGTGTAAGAAAAATGATGTTCTCAACTTTTGGGACTGAAAGAAATGAGTATTCGAATGTGTGAAAGAAAGGAATAATCCACGTGATTCTGACTCTAATGTCACTTAATTTTGCCATGAAATACATTTTTTTAGCTACGCCATAAAAGGATGACGTCATGCCGCTGTTCAAATACCCTCCCCCTTGATATAATGTATCCATGGTAACACTGTTTAATCATTCTTGACGATCAAGATGGTCCGCACCAGACATACATCGTTGAAATAGTTTCTTTAAACTTGTTGAATAATTGCATAATTTTTATTATTATTCCATGGAATGAAAAATTTCAAGGTATATCAAATATCTCTCCATGCCGCGTTTTCGTGCTTAACTATTAAATACAATGCCCATGGGGGTAGAACAAACTGTTATTTAATCTGCCGACATTTTACTAACTTGTGACCTAGGACCTGCATGAGAGAAAAGAATAACAGAAGATAGTTGGATGACGCTAAACGTCACTTTTGCAGTTGTCAGGTGGGGATTCCCTAAGTTTGTAAAGGCTAACAAAAAGGAATTTTTTCTCGGGAATCGTCGCGTCAATCCTGCACGTCAATAATATTATTTTGCAGGAATAAATATTTTCAGATATACCGTTTTTTTAAGAAGCGGACTCACACACGTGGCCCAGTCGACTAAGGCAACGGAATTCGCTGTGCATAATTGTGTCCTTTAGGCCGAACCCTTAGAAACGCTAAGGAGTTCTGGTGCCGCACAGTCACCCATCCACCTATTCTATGCAACCAACACTGTTACCCATCCATTTACTCTACGCGACCAGCCCCAGTCCACTATAAACATACTCCAACTTGTAAAACTGCACAGCAAACATTGTGTCTATAGCTTACCCACAGAGTAACGCTGTGTAATGTTCCATCATAACTCAGGCTGGTTAAATTTTTAATAATCACAGTATTCATTGTTCTTAGGAATAACATTACTTCCAGTAGTGGATAAACGTGGCTGGAAGATTATTTCTCTATTTCTATACAGGTGTTGGCCGCGCATGTCAGTGTGACGTTGTCTCGGTCTTGTACGTTTCGTGACAATCTGTCGAAAACTGGAGAGTAGATCTGGTCAGTTTATTTCTTCAGAGAGGTTGTTTATTTAAAACGAAGATTGTGTGAAATAACAAGAACACTTTTCACTGTCATCATTTGAACTCTCAGAGGTGTACATATGCTAATCGTATACATACATGCATCAACTAACCTGTATAGACCGTCTGACTGAATGAAACACATCAGTGTGTGAGTGAGTTTTATTATGCGTTTGGTAATATTCCAACAATATTTCGGCGTGGGACACCAGAAACGAGCTTTACACATTGATATCATTGCGTGGGATCGAATTCTTCGGCATATGGCTTTCACCACTAGGATATCCCATGCAACGTCCCCCCAAAACGCGTTGACGTTGCCATGGAATGCATCCTTGCAGAAGCTTAGTAATTGAAGGTCAATTGAAGTTGAAATTAAAACTGTTATTTTTGGAAGTACCTCTGAACGCAGCGATTAACAATTTAATCTGTTAACTTACTTATGTTCATCCCAGGCTTCAAATGAACAAGCTACTTTTATCTGCCACCAAGGGGAAGCGATACAGCTCACTGGCATCCGCTGTGAACGGCAACACTTGACACACGCGGTGCATGTAGCTTTTTCAAGTTGCTAGGTTTACAGGAAATGTGGCTGTGATGCATGCTGCATGTCAATGCAAGTAAACTGATGAACTGCCCAGTGTGATTACTTATTATTCAGTGCAATAACTCTTGTGTACTAACGTAAGTTTCACATTGATAACTTGGAAATAAATGTTGTCATTAACACGCTGTAAATAGGGAGGTGAGAATTATTGTTATGAAGAGGACTGTTCCTTCAATATCACATGCATGTATACATGTTACACTTTCATCTTGCATGTAACGTCCACGCACATCTTATGGAGGTGCTCAATGTCACGCGCATTTGTCGGTTAACACATATTACAGTTTGACACAAAGATTATTATTTTATTTTTTTTATTATCATTATTATTATTATTATTAGTAGTAGTATATACCTTTACGTTGTTAAGAACATAGATACATGTGTATGTGTGCATACACGTTACCGAGCATTGTCAGATCTTGATGCTGAGTATTATTTCCTGGTAGTTGATGATAATTTTCTTCTAATGATATACCAGTTGTCGGCGACTTGGAACATTGCAGGGATGTTGTAGTTGTCTTTTACAGCCAGGGTGACTGCGTCAATGCATAATCAAAGCTATCTTACTCATTCGTGTCTGAACAGTTGCCATGTGTCTGAACCTTATGATGTCCTGGAACTCGGTGGTCTGTAAACATACATGTCATGTATTTAGCTTTCGAAAAGCATATTGATATTCACATTAAAATCAGTATCTTGCAATTTTGATCAGATAAATTCACAAACCGTTACAAATATCTTCACACGTGTTGTTGATCTGCATGGAACCAGAAGACTTTGAAAGATGTATCGATGCAGATAAGCATGAACATTTTATTGTTGTTAATAGTCCTGACGAAAGTTCTTTTAAAGAATCAAAAGGCATACTCTACTTACTAGTTTGTTAGACATTGTATTGCTCAGTCGTTCTTCTCTGGGTTCTGGTTGGGGTCATATTGTTCATTCGTCTTTCACACAGTGATGGTTGGGGTCATATTGTCCATTCGTCTTTCACACAGTAATGGTTGGGGTCATATTGTCCATTCGTCTTTCACACAGTGATGGTTGGGGTCATATTGTTCATACGTTTTGCAATGGGTTCTGGTTGGGGTAACATTTTTCATATATACTCTTCAAAAAAAGAAACGTGACATAGATGTAAAACCCCTTTTTGCCAAATATCTAAAATAATTACATTAAATGAGAACCAAATAAGTCAAACAGAAAGATGATGTGTCTATAATTCGCGAAAACACATGCAAAGCACATAAATGTAGCGTTTGGGGATCAATTTTACAGCTTCACCCAAAAGCAACCGCCTGTAAAAAACGTGCAGCACAGGATCATGCATTTAGGCATGCAGGCACCCCTGCTGAATGGGTATTAAAATCCACATAAACGGCTGTTCATACAGTCCTTATAACGGCAGTAGAGGCGGTGACAGAATGCCAAGACTGAATGCAGCTCAACGGAACAACGCAATTGGGAGATTACAAGCTGGAGCAACTCAGCAAGAAGTGGCCAGGCACTTTGGCGTATTCAGACAGACAATCTCTGCACTGTGGACCCAATACAACAACACCAACAGAGTTGACGACAGACCAAGGTCAGGAAGACCAAGGGTGACAACCCAAGCACAAGATCGATACATCCGGCTGCGACACCTCCGAGACCGCACTACCACAGCTACGTCTACAACCACACAGGTCCCTGGGGTACGCAGAATATCAGATCAAACGGTACGCAACAGACTGAGGGAGGCTGGACTTTTTGCACGAAGACCTGTTCGACGTCATGTATTGACCCCACGTCATCTGGCGGACCGTCTCCTTTGGTGCCAACAGAGGGTTAGATGGGCACGTGCAAGGTGGAGAAATGTACTGTTTACTGACGTTTCCTACTCACACGTGCTGATGGGCGCGCACGTGTCTACAGACGTCGGGGTGAACGTTACGCCCCCAACTGTGTGCAGCAGGTTGTCCCATTTGGCGGCGGGAGTGTCATGGTATGGGCCGGAATTCATCACGGTGGTAGGACGCCTCTCGTGCATGTGGCAGGTGCATTAACAGGTGTGCGTTACAGAGACTTGATCCTACAGCCTTACGTTCTTCCTTACGTTCAAGGCGGACAGTTCCAGCAGGACAACGCTCGACCGCATATTGCACGTGTTTGTCAGGACTTCTTACAGCACAACAACATCCAGACATTACCTTGGCCAGCCCTGTCACCAGATTTGTCCCCGATTGAGCATCTGTGGGACGAGTTGGATCGACGCGTTCGCAGAAGGAATCCACCGCCCAAAACACTTCCGGCGCTTCTTGATGCACTTCAGCATGAATGGCAGCACATCCAACAGCGTGTTAATGACAACTTGATTGCATCTATGGGTCGTCGGTGTCAAGAGGTGATTGATGCACGTGGTGGGCACAACCAATACTGACATTATCTGTACCCCTGTGCCATTAACTGTATCGTGTACGTGTGTCTGTCTAGGTGACACGATTAATGTTTTGAACATTGTGTACATTGATCTTCAAACAGTGTTTCAATTATGGTTTATGTGTCCTATTTCGAAACAATCGCATTATAATACATTTTGAAAGTCAGTGTCAAGTTTCTTTTTTTGAAGAGTATATTTTTCACGGGGTATTGGTTGGAGTCATATTGTCTTCCTCACAAACGTCGAATTCATTTCCATGTTTTACGTTTCCCGTCATTGTTCTCCAGTCTCCTGTCTAGCTATCCCTCAACGAAAAATTTAAAAGAAATAGAACAATCGAATATTGTATACTTTACCGTCTTTATGGCAATGAATCTTCTCCACATCGTCAAAGCCGACGTAACATACATTGTCGACCATCACTAAAAACAAAGATATTTTGTAATCCAACGTTGAAATGCAACGATAAATGAAGCACTTTTAGGCTTGTTAGAATGACCAAAAAAAACACACTGTGGACTGTGGTCAGAGGACTGACTATTTGAAAGATTTCAAAAGTATGGTAAACCTAGGTTAAAAACAGCAAAATAATGTGTGTTTTCTTAACTAGTCTAGCTTTCAAACAACAAACATTCGTTTAGCTACTGGACACTTTCCTGTTGCAATTGATGTGATCCAAAGATAAAAAGAAAAATAGAGAAATCGTGTTAATAGATGATAGAATCATGATGTCATAGCATCAGAATCATAACACACAGCAACATTTTGTAAGGATTAGTTCTATCTCACTAGTATTATTAACCTGTATTTGATGTCAAATATGTTCAATTGATTTTAAACTTTCACTTCGGTATGTTGCAGCATGAACAACAGCTGCATGTGAATAAACGTACCAGAAAGACAACTGGATTGTGTTTCCCTGTATTATTCCTGAATACACCATGAATAAATGCTGATATTAAAAATCAAAACAGGAAATAACATTAAAGTAATGCTATCTACTATTGCAGATGTAAAATGAATACGGAAACGCAAAAGTGAGAAACACAAATTAATTTAAAGAAAGTACCAAAAAGTAAACTAACCAAGCGTTTCATCCTCGCTCTCTGTATGGCCATCTTGAGTGCTACTGAAACATTACATGTAACAATACAGCCACGTGATATTGAAACATTATACGAAACAGTACAGCCACGCGCTACCGAAACATTATACGTAACATTACAGCCATGTGTTCTTGAAACATTACATGTAACAATACAGTCATGTGCTACTGAAACATTACATGTGTCAATACGACTATGTTGCATGGAATCATTGCAGTACCATAGAGCCACGTACTAACGGAAACATTACGTGTAACAATACAGCAATGTTATGTTGTAACATTACACGTTACAATACAGCCCTGTGCTACAGAAACATTACACGTTACAATACAGCCCTGTGCTACAGAAACATTACACGTTACAATACAGCCCTGTGCTACAGAGACATTACACGTTACAATACAGCCCTGTGCTACAGAAACATTACACGTTACAATACAGCCCTGTGCTACAGAAACATGACACGTTACAATACAGCCCTGTGCTACAGAAACATTACACGTTACAATACAGCCCTGTGCTACAGAAACATTACACGTTACAATACAGCCCTGTGCTACAGAAACATTACACGTTACAATACAGCCCTGTGCTACAGAAACATTACACGTTACAATACAGCCCTGTGCTACAGAAACATTACACGTTACAATACAGCCCTGTGCTACAGAGACATTACACGTTACAATACAGCCCTGTGCTACAGTAACATTACACGTAACTATACAGCCACGTGCTACTTTTATCTAACTATATATAGACCAGTTCACGAAAGATTTTTACATTTTATAAATAAATTGTTTATACACGTGCTCCTCTGAGGGAGATATATCTATACTACATCCTGATTTCAAATGAGAGTTGTTGTTTTCAGTTCATTTAAATCAGATTCTATATGTTCTCATTTACACAATGACCACCCGATCCCGTTAGTCGACTCTTACGACAAGCATAGTCGCCTTTTAGGGCAAACATGGGTTGCTGAAGACCTATTCTAACCAGGATCTTCACGGGTCACGTGCTACTGTAACATTTAACGTAACAATACAACCATGTGTTCACTGTCAATCCCTGGATTGTCTGGTTTATTATTTACAGACCACCGACACAAAACTAGACTGGTGGGTTAAACAACAAACAGACGATGTAATCTTACTGTTAGCAAGGCCTCATAATCAGATGTGTTCCTATATCGATCGGGATCGGGTGGTTTGGCTCGCCGACTTGGTTAATGCACGTCATCGTATCCCAATTGCGTGGATCTATGCTCATGATGTCAATCACTGGAATGTCTGGTCCAGGCTCGATTATTCACAGACCGCCGTCATATAGCTGGAATATTGCTGAGTGCGGCGTTAAATAACAAACAAACAAATCCTATATCGATACCCCATACTGATTTCATGTGCGCATAGTTGTTTACAGTTCATTAAAATGTATACGTTCTCATACATACAATGTCAATTTAACACTTACATCTCTTCTTCCAGGCGCTCTGAGTCTGTAGATGTCATCAACACCTGAATTGTGGAGGTCCCTGCTGGTTACAATATATCAGGATGAAAACTACAAGTAAATGTATTGCATAATACAGCTTTGTTGTGAAATGTATATATATATCAACATATATACCAATCAAATATAGGACTAAACACAGTGGTGTGTCTAAGTGTTTCTGTGGGATCAGACAATGGTAATATTTCCATGATCAACTCCGGTGAAACAAAAAAGAAGCTTCTTGACAGCATTCATGTCCCTTCAGCCGCGTGCATATACTCCTGGAAAAAGACTAAGCACCGTGTATTATGTATTTCCTTGTAAAAACTTTATTGTAACAAATCATATCCTGTGTCAATATTCTGACGAAACAAAGAAAAGTGAAACTTGGACTTAAGTAAGTGAACAAATTGCATAAGGGTTCCTTGTATACGAGTGTATCTGACCTTCTGTTTGTCCAAGATCCTGCTCTTCCTCCTCCAGAAACCCGATGTAACAGACGTTGTCCACCATAACTGAAACAGTATTTATTATTATGTAATGTTGTTTCAGTCATTAGTCAGAAAACAGAGTATAATGTTATCTACTGTTTGATGGTTATATAGAAGTGTGTCGAGGGCTTTGTTTCATATTGTATATGTTACTTAAAAAAGGAACATGTCAAAATTATATTTTTCTCATTCTGTCCTGTATTTGTATACACTCACATATTAGTACGCATGCACTAAAGTACACAGGCACACATCTGTATACATATTGCATATTATAAATGTGTTTGCATATCATTTCAATACGGCAGTAAAATATTAAAAATGTATCGGTTAATACAATGTTTCAAGTGAAAATCAATGACATCAATAGAAAAAATCAAAGACTTACCCAAGCTATCGTCGATGTGACTTTCTGTATGCTCAATCTCCTCAGACCTGCAACATTCGTCAATGCTGAAGTTATTCGTTTTCCCTAAGGCGCCGAGATTCGCTGTGCAGAGTTGCGTCCCTTGGGCACGCCAGAAACCTATGATTGTGGGTTCGAATTCCAGTTCGCCCCGATTATGTTTCTAGGTGTGTCAGCACCATACCCGTGCTCGTGGGTTTTACCGAAGTGGTAAACATCTGAGACCTGCATCAATTCGGCCTTCTTCCCACATTAAGCTGACACGCCGTGATGTAACTGGAATACTGTTAAAAGCGGCGTTAAACCGTACTCACAATTCGTTTTCCCTTTGTGATTACTCCTACAAAGATGCATTGGCTCCATTCAAATAGGTACATGTAATTGCAAAGATGCACCCGAGGCTTACACAATTTGATGAATGGTTAATCTTTACTGAGAGCAGACCTTTTAGACTAGTATATGTGTTCAAAGCCTGGGCCGTTGTTGTTGCTGTTGTTTAACGCCGCACTCAGCAATGTTCCAGCTATGTACTCGATTATTCACAGACCGCCGTCATATAGCTGGAATATTGCTGAGTGCGGCGTTAAACAACAAACAAACAAATCCTATATCGATACTCCATACTGATTTCATGTGCGCATAGTTGTTTACAGTTCATTAAAATGTATACGTTCTCATACATACAATGTCAATTTAACACTTACATCTCTTCTTCCAGGCGCTCTGAGTCTGTAGATGTCATCAACACCTGAATTGTGGAGGTCCCTGCTGGTTACAATATATCAGGATAAAAAAACTACAAGTAAATGTATTGCATAATACAGCTTTGTTGTGAAATGTATACATATATCAACATATATACCAATCAGATATAGGACTAAACACAGTGGTGTGTCTAAGTGTTTCTGTGGGATCAGACAATGGTAATATTTCCATGATCAACTCCGGTGAAACAAAAAAGAAGCTTCTTGACAGCATTCATGTCCCTTCAGCCGCGTGCATATACTCCTGGAAAAAGACTAAGCACCGTGTATTATGTATTTCCTTGTAAAAACTTTATTGTAACAAATCATATCCTGTGTCAATATTCTGACGAAACAAAGAAAAGTGAAACTTGGACTTAAGTAAGTGAACAAATTGCATAAGGGTTCCTTGTATACGAGTGTATCTGACCTACTGTTTGTCCAAGATCCTGCTCTTCCTCCTCCAGAAACCCGATGTAACAGACGTTGTCCACCATAACTGAAACAGTATTTATTATTATGTAATGTTGTTTCAGTCATTAGTCAGAAAACAGAGTATAATGTTATCTACTGTTTGATGGTTATATAGAAGTGTGTCGAGGGCTTTGTTTCATATTGTATATGTTACTTAAAAAAGGAACATGTCAAAATTATATTTTTCTCATTCTGTCCTGTATTTGTATACACTCACATATTAGTACGCATGCACTAAAGTACACAGGCACACATCTGTATACATATTGCATATTATAAATGTGTTTGCATATCATTTCAATACGGCAGTAAAATATTAAAAATGTATCGGTTAATACAATGTTTCAAGTGAAAATCAATGACATCAATAGAAAAAATCAAAGACTTACCCAAGCTATCGTCGATGTGACTTTCTGTATGCTCAATCTCCTCAGACCTGCAACATTCGTCAATGCTGAAGTTATTCGTTTTCCCTAAGGCGCCGAGATTCGCTGTGCAGAGTTGCGTCCCTTGGGCACGCCAGAAACCTATGATTGTGGGTTCGAATTCCAGTTCGCCCCGATTATGTTTCTAGGTGTGTCAGCACCATACCCGTGCTCGTGGGTTTTACCGAAGTGGTAAACATCTGAGACCTGCATCAATTCGGCCTTCTTCCCACATTAAGCTGACACGCCGTGATGTAACTGGAATACTGTTAAAAGCGGCGTTAAACCGTACTCACAATTCGTTTTCCCTTTGTGATTACTCCTACAAAGATGCATTGGCTCCATTCAAATAGGTACATGTAATTGCAAAGATGCACCCGAGGCTTACACAATTTGATGAATGGTTAATCTTTACTGAGAGCAGACCTTTTAGACTAGTATATGTGTTCAAAGCCTGGGCCGTTGTTGTTGCTGTTGTTTAACGCCGCACTCAGCAATGTTCCAGCTATGTACTCGATTATTCACAGACCGCCGTCATATAGCTGGAATATTGCTGAGTGCGGCGTTAAACAACAAACAAACAAATCCTATATCGATACTCCATACTGATTTCATGTGCGCATAGTTGTTTACAGTTCATTAAAATGTATACGTTCTCATACATACAATGTCAATTTAACACTTACATCTCTTCTTCCAGGCGCTCTGAGTCTGTAGATGTCATCAACACCTGAATTGTGGAGGTCCCTGCTGGTTACAATATATCAGGATAAAAAAACTACAAGTAAATGTATTGCATAATACAGCTTTGTTGTGAAATGTATACATATATCAACATATATACCAATCAGATATAGGACTAAACACAGTGGTGTGTCTAAGTGTTTCTGTGGGATCAGACAATGGTAATATTTCCATGATCAACTCCGGTGAAACAAAAAAGAAGCTTCTTGACAGCATTCATGTCCCTTTAGCCGCGTGCATATACGTGTAGGATCAAAACCGAGGGCAAGTTTTTGATCTCACTTATATGAACTGATCAAAGATATGATTTAGAAATAATTTTACTAATTGGTATTAACATGAATTCATTGATATTTACTCTTGAGAATTTAACTGCAATACGCGGGGAGTACATCCGCGCGCTGCACGTGCTTCAGGCCCGTTGTAACAATGAGCGCACGTGGTTCAAGCCAGTCGAGTGAATTCCACTGAAGAGGATGGACGCAGACGACGACAATTTATTTCTGACGCAGTCAGTTTTTAAAGAATCGATTCTGTGCTGAAGAAGACAAGGAAAGTGATGACTTTAAATTCCGTTTTGGAGATCCACTCTCCGAGCGTGAAATAACCAAGAAAATTTAGATCTGTGTCCCTAGAAAAACACGTTATAAAAATGACTGGGCATTCTCAACATTTAAACGGTGGCAAGAAGAACGCAAGTCACGGTCAATTGCGGACAATTTGGAATTACCGCAAAAGTGCTTGACAGAGGATATAGTCGAAATGAGCCTATCTACTATGAACACCGCTTTCAAATATTTACTTTTTGAGGCGAGGAAACAGGACGGCACCCAGTACATGGCGGATACTGTACATCGACTGTTTACCGCTCTTCAGAGTGGCTTGAGGCTTAAAGGGCGAAAGAACATTAATTTGTTCGAGGATCAACAGTTTGAAGAGAGCAGAACATGTCTGGACGCTTTAATGAAGGAACTTTCTGGGGACTGGGCAGCTCTGCCAGGAAGAAAACTGAAACTATATCAATGGACGACGAAGAGCGCTTGTGGAGTAGCGGTTCATTAGGCGAAGACGACCCCCAGCAACTTGTGGATACGGTTCTTTATCTTACCGGTAAGTAAAGTAAACCACACAGTTGTTTTTCTTTATATCTTCGAAAATTACTTTTACAAATAGTATAAACTAAATCATTGGAATTTGTTCATTCACATATAAAATTGAAATATTAATGTGTGAACCTTTTTAAACACAAAAGTTTAACAGTTTGTTGAAATAATTAACTGAATTTTCATTATTGTTCATATTTGCCTTTGTCTAAAATACACATTTTCAAAACATTTACACAGGTTTGCATTTCGCACTGCGAGGAGGAAGAGAGCATACAGCGCTGAGGCTGTTCTCGAACCCCCAAATAACAGGTCCCCACACTGACGATAATGGCAGAAAGTATCTACTCTACACGGAAGACGCGTCAAAGACTAATCACGGCGGCCTGAAGCACAGGAAGCTGGTACCGAAACAAGTTCGAGCGTATGAGAACACGGACAACCTTAAAAGATGTTTTGTGCGTCTCTTTGAAAAGTACAGGTCATTGTGGTAAGTGTTAAAAAACACCAATGCAAATTGCATGTATTACCTACGTTTATTTAGGGGTTTGGGAATTATGTATTTGATAATCGCTTTATATAAATCTTGACTACATTCTAAATTTTGAATGAAATTTTCAGAAGGTGGAGTATCAGCCCACTCAATACATTGTTTCACAAAAACAAATATTACAAGTGTCCCTTTCTATGTTATTTCCCCCAGCAAACCTGGTCAACATACTGAATACTTCTACTTCACTCCAAGAAGGACTAGAACGTCGAAAGACTGGTATACTGCAAATGCCATCGGCCACAACACCTTACAAGTTACCGTCAAAAGACTGTGCAAGACGTCCGGTATTCAGGGCATGAAGGCAAACCATTCCTTGAGAGCCACGGCAGCCACTCGACTGTATCAAGGTGACGTTGATGAACAAATGATTTGCGAAATTACCGGTAGGTTGATAAACATTATAGTCTTGCAGTAATAAGAAATTGTTATTCAGCAAAAGTCATAACATATCAAAGAAATATTTTTTCCAAACCAGTAAGAAGGTCTTTTTTATTTATGATATATATGGTAATATTGGTGTTTTTGGAATCTGTAATAGTTTTTAAGTGTATTTGTATGCTGTATGTGTAATACTTTCGAAATTACAAGAGAACTTCCGACAACCAAAAGGCAACGGTCTCTGACATACTTAGTATGTCGAAAAAAATGAACTCGCCATCACGTGAAGAAGCTGATCCGAAAAGAGCAGATGACCAAAGACCTGAAGACAAACTAAATCGAACTGTGACGCTCAATTTCAATTTCAACTAATATCAATAAATAGTTGAGCCATGTTCTGTTGTTTTTTTCTTGCAGAAGGGTAGTTCAATACAGAGGGTATTCTTCGGGACAAAAACCAGGCTTTCAGTAGAAAATCTCCCGGGATTTCTTGCAGAAAGCCCGGGGCTTACCCTAGGAATGCCCGGGGCTTACCCTGGGAATGCCCTGTAAACTACCTGTAGAAGTTTAGTCGGTAAAAGAAGACCCTTGCGAGACAATAGAGTGACGTCACTAGAGGTTTATAAGTAAGTGAACAAATTGCATAAGGGTTCCTTGTATACGAGGGTATCTGACCTTCCGTTTGTCCAAGATCCTGCTCTTCCTCCTCCAGAAACCCGATGTAACAGACGTTGTCCACCATCACTGAAACAGTATTTATTATTATGTAATGTTGTTTCAGTCATTAGTTAGAAAACAGAGTATATTGTTATCTACTGTTTGATGGTTATATAGAAGTGTGTCGAGGGCTTTGTTTCATATTTTATAAAAAGGTTTAGCAAAATGTTACTAAAAATAGTAACATGTCAAAATTATATTTTTCTCATTCTGTCCTGTATTTGTATACACTCACATATTAGTACGCATGCACTAAAGCACACAGGCACACATCTGTATACATATTTGCATATTATAATTTCAATACGGCAGTAAAATATTAAAAATGTATCGGTTAATACAATGTTTCAAGTGAAAATCAATGACATCAATAGAAAAAATCAAAGACTTACCCAAGCTATCGTCGATGTGACTTTCTGTATGCTCAATCTCCTCAGACCTGCAACATTTCCATACTCGTCAATGCTGAAGTTATTCGTTTTCCCTAAGGCGCCGAGATTCGCTGTGCAGAGTTGCGTCCCTTGGGCACGCCAGAAACCTATGATTGTGGGTGCGAATTCCAGTTCGCCCCGATTATGTTTCTAGGTTTGTCAGCACCATACCCGTGCTCGTGGGTTTCACCGAAGTGGTTAAGCTGACACGCCGTGATGTAACTGGGATACTGTTAAAAGCGGCGTTAAACCGTACTCACTATTCGTTTTCCCTTTGTGATTACTCCTACAAAGGTGCATTGGCTCCATTCAAATAGGTACATGTAATTGCAAAGATGCACCCGAGGCTTACACATTTTGATGAATGGTTAATCTTTACTGAGAGCAGATCCTTTAGACTAGTATATGTGTTCAAAGCCTGGGCCGTTGTTGTTGCTGTTGTTTAACGCCGCACTCACCAATGTTCCAGTTATGTAATATTACTCTGTAAATAATCGAGTCTGGACCAGACAGGTCAGTGATACCATAATCATCTGTCCACGTAATATGACTGGGCAACGGTGACATGCATCAACCGAGTCACCTGGATCTTTAAGTCGCCTCTTGAGACAAGCAAAGGTTGCTGGAGAATATATTCTTACCCGGAATTACCACGGATATACAGCAAGAATGCTATAAGTGTCACACACGACATTTTAGCATAATTTGAAGATAACTGCAACATTTAATTTGTTAATATACAGGATATGAAATGAACGATAGGTTTACTGGTACAAGAACAACGTCATTATGTCGGAGAGATGACGCATGCCATTTAGACGAACATGTAAACAATGCAGAAAAACAGCGTGACACAAACGTGACACTAACAACTACTGCTTTTGTGTATGTTTAGGACAGTTATTGTAGTGAATATTGCAATTGCTTACAGATAAATCTATTTTCGGGGAGATTACCTTTTCATGTTCTGACCCTCATGATCATAACCTGTGGCAAAAGAACACACCATTATGTTAGGAGTATGCCCAGATTACGGTACACGTCAACACTATATACACGCTGAGTTTTAAATCTGAGGTACAAAGATTACTTACTTCCCTCATTTCACGCCGACAGAGTGACCCTTCCACATCTAGGACCACGTATTAACACACAGACACTCTACAGGGTATCCAAGCAATACTTGTACCGATACAGAGAGAGTATTTCTAATATATATACTTTCTTCTTGGTGCTCTTTTACGTCTATAATTCTATTGGTTTCATTGTTGATTTTGACTACTCGTATCTATGACACGTCTTATCAATACACTGTTTTGAATTATTGAATATGATGTCAATCATTGACTTCACATAGCGATTTCATGTGATAGGTCAACTAACCTTGAACGTTAGTGTCCGAACATGTTGCTGGTAAACCACTTACTGACTCTAGAATGATCTCTCCTTCTCTTCCTCACACACCAAATGATGACAGCGATGATGACGATGGCAACCACTGCACCTGCTGGTGTTCCTGTGCTGGCCGCTATAACGATTGTTTCATCTGTGACAAGAAACAGTGGGAAAGAAGAATAAATAATCTAAACGCGGGGCACGGTTACATCATTCCGACGAATAAAAATGGTCAACACGATATCGAAGGGTGAAGACCAAAATGGAATTCAATGTTCAGTTTTTAGGCCAGTCATTTTTTTGCTTTGTTTGTACATTCAACAGTTTTCAAACAAGATGAACCACTTGTCACGTTTCTTACACAAATGCATCAAATGAAAAAGTTGAGGTATCCAAAGGGATGTTCATTTTATTCTTCTCATCAAAGCTTCCCGTTACTGTGTTTGCAAACTGAAAAAATTATACATGCAAGTGTACAAGTATTTTCCCGACATGTTCGATTTCGCGAATGGCTGGCAGTATTGCTAAAACACAATATTTGCACACTCACTCGTGTCAAGAGACTTCAGTGTTCTGGGAAATGAAATGAAGACAGCTGTGGGAGGCCTATACAATGCATGTCCATCATGCGAGGTGGGAAGCTTTGCTTTGAACTGAGTGAATAGTGCATATGCGGGATACTGATATAAATACATGCGTCAAGGAAAGTAACTCTGCACATCGAACTGAGGCGCCTTTAAAAACTTCGCCACCCGTACCTCAAATGTATTTCATAAACAGCACATATTATGACACTATCATGACTATGACATATCCTGTTATATGTTACCTTTTAAGTTGTTGTTTAACGCCGCACTCAGCATTGTTCCAGCTATATGACTACAGTCTGTAAATAATGGAATCTGGACCAGACAATCCAGTGATTGATATTATGAGCATCGATCCACGCAATTGGGATACGATGACATGAATCAACCAAGTCAACGAGCCTGGCCACCCGATCCCGTTAGTCACCTCTTACGACAAGCATAGTCTCCTCTTACGACAAGCATAGTCGCCTCTTACGACAAGCATAGTCTCCCCTTACGACAAGCATAGTCTCCCCTTACGACAAGCATAGTCGGCTCTTACGACAGGCATAGTCGCCTCTTACGACAAGCATAGTCTCCCCTTACGACAAGCATAGTCTCCCCTTACGATAAGCATAGTCGCCTCTTACGACAAGCATAGACTCCCCTTACGACAAGCTTAGTCTCCCCTTACGACAAGCATAGTCGCCTCTTACGACAAGCATAGTCTCCTCTTACGACAAGCATAGTCGCCTCTTACGACAAGCATAGTCGGCTCTTACGACAAACATAGTCTCCCCTTACGACAAGCATAGTCTCCTCTTACGACAAGCATAGTCTCCTCTTACAAGCATAGTCTCCTGTTACGACAAGCATAGTCGCCTCTTACGACAAGCATAGTCTCCTCTTAAGACAAGCATAGTCTCCTCTTACGACAAGCAAAGTCTCCTCTTACGACAAGCATAGTCTCCCCTTACGACAAGCATAGTCGCCTCTTACGGCAAGCATATGTTGCTGGTCACATATATTCCAACCCGGATCTTCAGTTTAGTCACATCACAGCGACCGGTGTAACGTGCTCAATGACATACACAATATACAAACAATTCTAAATGACACAAATGAACATAGAGGGAAAGTGTATGCCATAATTATGTGAAAGGTTTTCCAGGAGTGCATCATGAAAGTAGGTTATTCTTTAATCTAAATTGTGTCTAAATGAGAATAACGTCACTTAATTGTTTTGGTTTCATCACGGTGTATGTATACATTCATACACGGAAATATAGTTTAATGATAGAAAAATCCATTGAAATATTGTTTAAAATCCAGATCCAGATGGAAAATTTCCCAGATTTCCTTGAACTGTCGATGAATTATTCAGTGAAAGGGATACATATTCCGAGATTTTTCAACACATTGAAGGAAAATGAGATTTACCTAAGACCATTAGAGACACAAAACACGAAAGAACTTGGACTTGATCAAAGGATAAAACAAAACAAATGCAGTTTCTAAGGCAGAAAATAGTTAGGACTTTCATGCACCCACATAAGTGTGTTATTAGGATTACTAACAACACTTGCTGAAGCTGAAAAGCTTTCTGAGACGGACCCTGAAATGCATCCACCGTCCTCGAAGGGCCCGATGTAAAATATCAAGTAGGTTAATCATTTCCCTGTCTTGACTGGCTTGGACAGTGTAACATCGGCAAATTTTGCAATTATATTATGACGAGATTTACCCCAATCTGAAACTTACATCGGCGGTCTTAACGCTAAATGATAAAAAGATTAACGTACATTTATAAAAAAACCATTATAGACCTATTTACTGTCATATGTGTGCCCTGAACAAGGTCCGCGTTTCACTTCGTGAATGGCTTGGTGGACAGAGGTTTGAGCCAGGCTGCCACGTGCATATTACATAACATACATTTTATTACATTATACATTCACCACATCAGATCTGGATACGTAACCCATTCGAAGATTAAATAATTACCACAGACACGATGCGAACCATTGAGTGCTTCATTACCTTGACAACCTCACAGACAGTTTTGTCGGGTAAGTCTGAGTAGTTTTACCACTAATTATACCTGTAATACAGTCATTAACTGAGCATCAAGTGAATAAAGACAAATACACAGGTGGAGGGTTATACCATGAGATATGGACGACAGGAGGAGAGAAGTAATTGGTGTATTATATGCAATTTGCCTGAAAAATAAGGGTCGTTGCTGCTGTGTATATGAACTGAATTTCATTGTTACAAAAGTAATATGTACACATAATTTCTGTATACCGAACTACATAACTGTACATCCACATTTACACACGCAGATGAATTTGCAAGGTGAAAGGTTATTGTATGAATCATCCACTTAATGCGAGGATTCAAGGGGATGAACCCTCGCTGTCGACGAGGTTTTCCAGTTCGCCATTCGCTGGTCAGAAGCCCCATTTGTTGCCGGCACTAATTGGTTTCCGGTGATGACGTGGGCTAATGAAAATGGCACCGGCTAGACAACTGAAAGTTTTCCTTTAAGAATGATTTGTATTGTCATTTCTTCTGACAAAGGGGCGCGACAACGTGACCGCCATTTTTTGGTAAAATGAAGCATCTTAATCAGAGTACCTTGCAACCATGTCATGCAGACTGCCGAAGGTAAGCACGAGGAAACATCGATTTTTAAATAACTCTCATGTTGCAATGTCAAATATTTCGTTTTGTAACATTAGCATGATGTTATGCTGAATTGATGTACTGAAATATTTATCTTCTATATTCATCTATTATGGTTATTCCAACAAGTCAATATATGAATACAAGCACACTACTCACACTTAAAAAATGGTCCCATATCCGAGATCACACAGATGGAAGTCACTTCAACATGCAGTTGTGCTATGTTTAATATTCTCTACTTCTTATGAAACGATAATTATGAGGACGTTGAAACCTTTGCAATAACCCAAATAAACGCACAGTAATGTTCTCGTCGAAACTGTTGCAAGCTATGTCCTCCTTTTCATTTATAGGATTTGTATGGACAGGAAAAACGACACTGTTAATATCGTTATCCTAACTTCCAGCACTGGTTGTACCTTTCTAGATGTATGTGTTCGTCCCTAAACGATGCAGTGAAGGACTAATTGTGGAGTTGTATATGTTTATGTGCTCACATGTTCATGCTAAAACATGCTAAGAGTAAATATGTAGATATTCAATGAAAGGAAAGCAATATGTATTGTTGATCAAGAGATGCCACCAGTAGTAAGCAAATATGTGAAGGACACAACTCCTAAGGTACGGGTTTCACAATAATTATAACAAATATAAGCGACAAAACGCTTTTCATATTCATAACATATCTCTGCCAAAAGCAGGGTCGATTTACGATTCCGACTATAACACGAGCCTGTGTTTATTAATAACTATAAAATAGTGATGATAAAAAGTGTTCGCGAAAAGGTAAACGTTTCCCGCCCAACCGGTGGCGTCCGTCACAAACACATGCAAAGGCAAGTCCATTGTTCACCTAAAAAAACACGGGAACATAGAGTACAAGTCAAAATACGGAATTTGTATCGGGCATAATTTTTGTCTTTGTTGCGTCTAATTTATTTGCCTCTACACGTCTACCATAAAACAGTTTGAAAGCTTTGCTGAGTCCTTGAATATTGTAAACTTTGATCAAACAACTCTTTGAAATGTTCACAGAAAGAGCGTGCTCGACTGTTCCTCAAAAGTTGGGAAAAGGGAACACCAAATGCTGGAGCTGCAGGAATATTGTTCGACTTGAAAGGAACGTTGACCCAAAACCTACAAATGTCTTCGTGTCTGGCCTTCAGTGTGGTGGTTTGTCCACCGGCACCAGTCATGCGACGTCTCATCCTCCCATTGCTGTTGTTGACAACTCTTATTCTATCCGTCCACAACGGCCTGCGCCAATCGTCGGAGGCTAAGAGGTAAGTGGTAGTTGATGTCGTCTGAACACGCAAATCACCCAAGTATATCCCAAAGTTGTCCACAGCGACTGACATCCAATGCAAAATATTGGTATTGGATTATACGATGTCGCTGGTGCAGGTTCTAGCAACATGTTGACATGCATTTTCGTGGTGAAACATCACGTTCGACCACTATGATAAGGTATTTCGATCCCTGCCAGGTCCCCCGCACGATGTTAAGGTATTTCGATCCTTGCCAGGTCCCCCGCACGATGTTAAGGTATTTCCATCCCTGCCAGGTCCCCTGCACGATGTTAAGGTATTTCCATCCCTGTCAGGCCCCCCGCATTATGTAAAGGTATTTCCATCCCTGTCAGGTCCCCCGCACGATGTTAAGGTATTTCCATCCCTGTCAGGTCCCCCGCACGATGTTAAGGTATTTCCATCCCTGTGAGGCCCCCCGCACGATGTTAAGGTATTTCGATCCCTGTGAGGCCCCCCGCACGATGTTAAGGTATTTCCATCCCTGTGAGGCCCCCCGCACGATGTTAAGGTATTTCGATCCCTGCGAGGCCCCCCGCACGATGTTAAGGTATTTCGATCCCTGTCAGGTCCCTCGCACGATGTTAAGGTATTTCGATCCCTGTGAGGCCCCCCGCACGATGTTAAGGTGTTTCGATCCCTGTGAGGCCCCCCGCACGATGTTAAGGTATTTCGATCCCTGTCAGGTCCCCCGCACGATGTTAAGGTATTTCGATCCCTGTGAGGCCCCCCGCACGATGTTAAGGTATTTCGATCCCTGTCAGGTCCCCCGCATTATGTTAAGGTATTTCGATCCCTGTCAGGTCTGTGGTACGATGTTAAGGTATTTTGACCTCTGTCAGTTCTGTAGCAGGATGTTAAGGTATTTCGGCCTCAGTCAGGTCTGTGGTACGATGGTAAGGTATTTCGGCCTCTGTCAGGTCTGTGGCACAATGTTAAGGTATTTCGACCTCTGTCAGGTCTGTGGCACGATGTTAAGGTATTTCGATCCCTGTCAGGTCTGTGGCACAATGTTAAGGTATTTCGACCTCTGTCAGGTCTGTGGCACAATGTTAAGGTAGTTTGACCACTGTCAGGTCTGTAGCACGATGTTAAGGTATTTGGGCCTCAGTCAGGGCTGTGGTACGATGTTAAGGTATTTGGGCCTCGGTCAGGTCTGTGGCACATTGTTAAGATATTTCGACCTGTGTCAGGTCTGTAGCATGATGTTAATGTATTTCGGCCTCTGTCAGGCCTGTGGTACGATGTTAAGGTATTTCGACCTCTGTCAGGTCTGTGGCACAATGTTAAGGTATTTCGACCTCTGTCAGGTCTGTGGCATAATGTTAAGGTATTTCGACCTCTGTCAGGTCTGTGGCACAATGTTAAGGTATTTCGACCTCTGTCAGGTCTGTTGCACAATGTTAAGGAATTTCGACCTCTGTCAGGTCTGTAGCACAATGTTAAGGTATTTCGACCTCTGTCTTGTCTGTAGCACAATGTTAAGGTATTTCGACCTCTGTCAGGTCTGTGGCACAATGTTAAGGTATTTCGACCTCTGTCAGGTCTGTAGCACAATGTTAAGGTATTTCGACCTCTGTCAGGTCTGTGGCACAATGTTAAGGTATTTCGACCTCTGTCAGGTCTGTGGCACAATGTTAAGGTATTTCGACCTCTGTCAGGTCTGTAGCACAATGTTAAGGTATTTCGACCTCTGTCAGGTCTGTAGCACAATGTTAAGGTATTTCGACATCTGTCAGGTCTGTGGCACAATGTTAAGGCAGTTTGACCACTGTCAGGTCTGTGGCACAATGTTTAAGGGATGTGCACATCTATAGTTTCCTCTTGCCCTCTCACGTGACGCTGTAATCCATGTACAACATGCAACAAGTTCACAGTAAAGTAAGGGCCGACATTCAGACAGAAATGATATTCAGGTCCATCGAAGAAGCTGACGTGCCATCAAAGACCTTGACTGAGATTGAACATTCTAACAGGACGACGAGCTCTCATGCTGTGGTGTTGTGATTGGTTCTGAACTGTCTGGTGTGGATACTGAACAGTCTGGTGTGGATACTGAACTGACTGGGGTGGATACTGAACAGTCTGGAATGGATACTGAACAGTCTGGAATGGATACTGAACTGTCTGGAGTGGGCACTGAACTGTCTGGATTGGATATTGAACTGACTGGAGTGGATACTGAACTGTCTGGAGTGGATACTGAACAGTCTGGGGTGGATACTGAACAGTCTGGAGTGGATACTGAAATGACCGAAGTGGATACTGAACAGTCTGGAGTGGATACTGAACTGACTGGAGTGGATACTGAACTGTCTGGATCGGGTACTGAACAGTCTGGAGCGGATACTGAACTGTCTGGAGTGGATACTGAACTGTCTGGAGTGGATACTGAACAGTCTGGAGTGGGCACTGAACTGTCTGGGGTGGATACTGAACTGTCTGGAGTGGACACTGAACTGTCTGGAATGGATACTGAGCTGTCTGGAATGGATACTGAACTGTCTAGAACGGATGCTGAACTGACTGGAGTGGATACTGAACTGTCTGGAGTGGATACTGAACAGTCTGGAGTGGATACTAAACAGCCTGGAATGGATACTGAACTGACTGGAGTGGGCACTGAACTGTCTGCAGCGGATACTGAACAGTCTGGAGTGGATACTGAACTAACTGGAGAGGATACTGAACTGTCTGGAGCGGATACTGAACAGCCTGGAGCGGATACTTAACACAATCTGGAGCGGATACTGAACAGTCTGAAGCGGATACTGAACTGTCTACAACGGATGCTGAACTGACTGGAGTGGATACTGAACTGTCTGGAGTGGATACTGAACAGTCTGGAGTGGATACTAAACAGTCTGGAATGGATACTGAACTGACTGGAGTGGGCACTGAACTGTCTGCAGCGGATACTGAACAGTCTGGAGTGGATACTGAACTAACTGGAGAGGACTGAACTGTCTGGACCGGATACTGAACAGTCTGGAGCGGATACTGAACACAATCTGGAACGGATACTGAACAGTCTGGAGCGGATACTGAACTGTCTAGGGCTGATACTGAACAGTCTGGAATGGATGCTGAACTGACTGTAGTAGGTACTTAACAGTCTGGAATGGATACTGAACAGTCTGGAGTGGATACTGAACTGTATGGAGTGGATACTGAACCGTCTGGAACGGATACTGAACTGTCTGGAATGGATACTGAACAGTCTGGAGTGGATACTGAACTGTCTGGAGTGGATACTGAACTCTCTGGAGTGGATACTGAGCTGTCTGGAGTGGATACTAAAGAGTCTGCAGTGGATACTGAACTGTCTGGGATGGATACTGAACTGTCTGGTGTGGACACTGAACTGTCTGGAGTGGATACTGAACAGTCTGGTATGAATACTGAACTGTCTGGAGTGGATACTGAGCTGTCTGGACTGGACACTGAACTGTCTGGAGTGGGTATTGAACTGTCTGGAGTGGATACTGAGCTGTCTGGAGGGGATATTGAGCTGTCTGGGGTGGATGCTGAACAATCTGGAGCGGATACTGAGCTGTCTGGAGTGGATACTGAGCTGTTTGGAATGGATGCTGAACAGTCTGGAGTGGATGCTGAACTGACTGGAGTGGATACTGAACTGTCTGGAATGGATACTGAGTTGTCTGGGGTGGATACTGGACAGTCTGGAGTGGATCCTGAACTGTCTGGAGTGGATTCTGAACTGTCTGGTGTGGATACTGAACAGACTGGAATGGATACTGAACTGTCTGGAGGGGAAACTGAGTTGTCTGGGGTGGATGCTGAACAGTCTGGAGTGGAAACTGAACTGTCTGGAGCGGATACTTAACTGTCTAGAATGAATACTGAACTGTCTGGAGTGGATACTGAGCTGTCTGGACTGGACACTGAACTGTCTGGAGCGGATAATGAGCTGTCTGGAGTGGATACTGAACTATCTGGAGTGGATACTGTACTGTCTTGAGTGGACACTGAACTGTCTGGAGCGGATACAGAACTGACTGGGCTGGACACTGAACTGTCTGGAGGGGATACTGAGCTGTCTGGGGTGGATGCTGAACTGTCTGGAGTGGATACTGAGCTGTCTGGAGTGGATACTGAGCTGTCAGGAGTGGATGCTGAACAGTCTGGAATGGATGCTGAACTGACTGGAGTTGATACTGAACTGTCTGGAATGGATACTGAACTGTCTGGTGTGGATACTGAACATACTAGAATGGATACTGAACTGTCTGGAGTGGATACTGAACTGTCTGGAGCGGATACTGAACTGTCTGGAATGAATACTGAACTGTCTGGGGTGGATACTGAACTGTCTGGAGTGGATACTGAACTGTCTGGAGTGGATTCTGAACTGTCTGGTGTGGATACTGAACAGACTAGAATGGATACTGAACTGTCTGGAGTGGATACTGAACTGTCTGGAGCGGATACTGAACTGTCTGGAATGAACACTGAACAGTCTGGAGTGGATACTGAACTGTCTGGAGTGGATATTGAACTGTCTGAAGCGGATACTCAACAGTCTGGAGTGGATACTGAACTGTCTGGCGAGGACACTGCCTGTTGGAACCTGTTACGAAGGTTTGCAGTAAAGATATAACATGTAACATGTTACGTCGGAGTAGTACTTCACCATTTAAGCTTAAAGTTATATAATTACTTTTTCGTTGTCAGTTCCTACCTTGCCACCACTCGAGTGTAGGCTTTCTGTAAAGGGTTCTACAATGTTGAAGTGTGCAATAAAAAGTGACTGTTTTGCTAGGTACATTTCATCAGGATGCTGTACAGCTGATTTGGGCCAAAGGGAATTCCATTGTGAAGTAATTAGGTCAGTTGTTACGTTAAATCTCCGAGCCTTTTAGTATGATTCGATGACTATCTCTAATCTATCGTTTGCTTCTCCGGTAACGTTAAGCTTGCAGTGAGCATGACTCAAACCGGGAATAGTTGTGCTGGATTAAAACATAGTTTAGACAACGTGTGGGTAAGTGTAGTATCATTTTAAAAAACGTATTACCACATTACTCCCTATTTTGACTTGTGTTATATCTTTCCGTGTCATTTCATTATTACATCTCACTCACTCACTCACTCACTCACTCACTCACTCACTCACTTACTCATAAAGATACAAGTCACGTGCTGGAACTGAAACCACTCAGTGCCTCATATCAAACACTATATCGAGGATATATCGCCATAATTTAACACAACCACGTCCCGGCAGCCACACAGATGTTGAAAATGCTCATTCGCTAGAGTTATAATGAAAGTAATCGAAAATGAAAAAAGAACAACTTTCATTTCCTTGATTTACATGCGACGTATTTAGGTCAATATTGTGTATTCAAAACCTACTTCAATACTTTGCTTGTTGGTTTTCAGTTTTCTACCCAGTGTCCTCCTCTGCTTGCACTTTATACAGGGAAATAATGTACATGCATAATGTTACTTGTATGTATTAACCACACGGAGATTAGGGTCAGACAGTATTTCCACCGGTCTAGCAATTGTCCAGCAGAGTGTACCGATGTACCGATATTCCAAGACTGGGAGAGCACAATAGATACTGTTTATCAATATGGTAATATTTACGATACGGCTAATACACTCATATTCTCTTTGTATCTCATGCAAATGAATTAGAATTTTATTATCATAACTATTCCTATCAAAATAGGTTTTCGCTTGTGACGTCGAGAGTGCGGGTTCGATTCCCCGGATAGGTACACTGTGTGAAGAACAGTTCTCGTATCCTCCGCATTCATATTGCCGGCATATTTTTAAAAGCGGCGTAAAACCATTTTCACCCAATCACTAGTCTCATAATGCACTTTTAAAATCTGACATTATGATAATATGAACTTACCTATCGTTATGCCATTACTTATGTCACGTGCATCCATATTGGCGCATTTCTACTCTAAATTCCTGTCGATGCTGGCATTTATCCTCAGATCCACAGATCGATGCTCATGATGTCAATCATCGGGTTGTCTGGTCCAGACTCCATTATTTACAGACCGCCGTCATATAGCTGGAATATTGCTGAGTGCGGCGTTAAACAACACACAAACAAACAAACAAGCGCAAAACGTTGAGTGTAGGACAAAAGCCCCTGTGGATAAAAGCCTCAAACGCCCCGAAGGTCAAAAGCCCACCCGGACTTCACCCTTATCAGATAAAAGCCCCACTAAGATAAAAGTTCTTTATTTGTTAAGGAAGCGTACAACATGTACACACATATGTGAAGTGTTGACAAAAACAACATTATTGGAGTACCATATCCTGGTGAGTAGTTCTTACACCAATTTAATTCATTTTTATCATCCAAAACTGGCTCCCACAGGAGATATCGCTTGTATGCGAATGTAGATATCGCTGCAATGAAAATGCATCACAATACTTTGCTGACCATTGTGACGTCATTGGTTACCATGACGCCACAATCAAATTACATCCCTAATGGCTCTGCTACTGAAGCTACTAGAGCAGTACTTTTTACACTGAAGACACTGCTTATTACTGTCTACAAACTGAAAAACGTGGAAGAATGATGTTGGATGATAAATAAAATCTCACCCTCGTGTCTTTTGATATCAAATATATCAACACTCATTGATAAAAGCGGAAAAAAAACCTCGGCAAACCTCGGTTTTTTTCCCTATTTTATCTAGATAATTCTCAATAATTCGTAATTCTTATAGAAGAGAGCAATACCTGTTTGTAGACCGCAGTGACAACACATTGTCTGTTGAGGATTCGCTTGTGTAGATGATTGATGCTGGCACAATATTCGTGTTGATATTTCAATGTTGATATTAATATCATACGTCTTATGTCAACATATTTTATGTTTTCCTTAATGTGGGGCTATTATCCTAGTGTGTTTTTTAATATCCCACTGGGCTTTCTTCCACAGGGTCTTTTGTCTTTTGTCGTTTACCGTTAGAACATAGACATTCGAATATTACGATCCTTTCATTGCGATGCATGTTACCGTGTTGTACAAAATAAATTGAACGTGCAATTACATTTCATCACAAAGCTCCATGACTATTTTAGATTAAAACATTAAGGCTGTGGTCGTTAAAACATACTAATATGTACGGTTTCACGTTCAACAGACATAGGCTGCCAATGAATATGTTTCCATGACATGAATGGTTTTGACAAGCAAGATGTATATGTTTATAGATATCTTACGGTTTACAACAGCAAGCAGTGTATATGTGTGTGTGTGTGTGTGTGTGTGTGTGTGTGTGTGTGTGTGTGTGTGTGTGTGTGTGTGGGTGTGTGGGTGTGTGTGTGACGACCCCCTACATAACCCCGCCCCTGATATCCGGTGTCCTGACCCCTTACATAACCCCGCCCCTGATGTTCTGTGTCCTGACCCCTTACATAACCCCGCCCCTGATGTTCTGTGTCCTTATCCACCTACATAATCCCACTCCTGATGTCTTGTGTCCTGACCCCTTACATAATCCCACCCCTGATGTCCTGTGTCCTGACCCCTTACATAACCCCGCCCCTGATGTTCTGTGTCCTTATCCACCTACATAATCCCACCCCTGATGTCTTGTGTCCTGACCCCTTACATAATCCCACCCCTGATGTCCTGTGTCCTGACCCCTTACATAATCCCACCCCTGATGTCCTGTGTCCTGACCCCTTACATAACCCCGCCCCTGATGTTCTGTGTCCTTATCCA